AATAAATATCAAGGATAACCAGGTAATGAATAATTAGAAAGCATAGATTGACATCTTGAAAATTCCAAGTTGTGCCAAACAAGAGCCTGGGTGTCTGGGATACGGGAGCGAGTGAAGATGGTGATGTGTTAGAGATTTGGAGAGCGCTATGCCTCACACACTCAACACTCCTGTGTATCTTACCTCTGTATTTTGTAAGAGGGCTGTCTCCTGACAGGGCAATCAAGGCAGCGGCTGCAGGTACAAGCTTGAGAAAACCAGTTCCTGTGCTGCATGGCAATAAAACACAGAGAAGAGAATAGGAAAAGCAGAGATTTTCTTAACGAACATTTTTGATATGGTGTAACAGTTCAAGCTTTACTTGTATCTAGATGTTTTCCTGTATCTAGAATTGGACAGGACTAAGAATTAAATTAAAATATTTTATCACTCATTCATTCATTCATTCATTCAGGTGTTCAACAAATATTTATTGGGCACCTTCTCTGTGCTCAGCACTGTACTATGCACTGGGGAGACAGGGGGCCACCCTGTCTTCGTGGAGCAGGTAGTCTCACTCCTTCAGGACCCACACGCTTGGAAACCAAACAACAGAGACAGGTACCAAAGACAATCGAAAGGAGCAAACGTTTACACCGAAAAGGACTTCACTAGTTTACAGTCTCTCACTCGGATCCTATTTGGCTGTGCAGGTTCCAAACCTGTAGAGCAAGTATCACAGGCAGGAGGCCTGTCAGAGGCAGGCACTGATATTAGAAATGCAGTCAAAAGCTTAATCTTTAAGGAAGTCGAAATCATGAAAAAATGGCTTTGAGAACATGTTTATACATTACTTGTGCAATTAAAAAAATAAATAATAAACTAGAAAAGGAAACATTATAGGGAATTTGCCAGATGGCTAAACTGTACTTGTCTCTGTGCAGCAGATTTTGGGGTGATATTTCTTTTTTACTCTAAATTTTTATGTTCCCCTGAAATTCATATGTTGAAATCCTAACCCCCAATGTGATGGAATTTGGAGGTGGGTCTGTGGGAGGTGACGTATAAGTCTTCTTATACATCAAGCCTCAAGCAAACATTAGACAACACCAAATAGTCAATGACCAGTGCCAGCTAACCACCACTCTTGAGGTCACAGCCTAACCTCCACACCCTCACCTGTCATACATGGTGGTGAGAAGGCTCAGAATGAGTTCCGGAGTTCTGGGATGCACCTGTCCTGGTTTTGCCACCCTGACTCTCTGAAACAGCTCCTGGAGGGCCTGGAAAAGCTGCTGCACGGAGAGGGGGCTCTCTCTTGCTTCCCAGAAACGTTGATGCAATAGGACATGCTGAACCAGAGAACTGTCAATTAAATCCACTGTAGAAAACGAACGAAGAATTGAGTCTTATTTTCTTGATGGGAACAAAAGGCTTCAAACAAAACAAATGTCATCTAGTGTTTAATGAAGACTGTTTAATGAAGACTGTTTGTTTAATGGCAGCTATTTCTTTTAAAAGAAGTTAGATACGACCACCATTTTGACACATATCTCTTGTGTATAATGGAGACATTACTATTTTGACAGTCAATTTGATTTTGGAAAAGTACATCTGTTAGTAAAGCAGAGTTGTAACATTATTGCCAGTGTAACCTTTATTATGTTGCTTTATAAAATTAGTTAAAAGGAGGAAAAGTGAGAGAAACTTGAAAAATAGCCTTGTGGTAAATAGTTGGCGAAAACGTTTTTATGTTCTTAAAGTGGATTGAGAAAATTGACTTTTCATGTTCAAATATAGTTTTTCCTGTCTGCGCCCTAACTTCAGAAGGAATATCGTGTGTCAAAATGCAATTGCCTTAGTTAAAACACCAAGTGATCTTTATAAAGGAGAAGTTGCTGAATTTGGTATTAGACTTTACGTCCCACCCTCGCCTCAATAATATTTCTTTTTTGGATCTTGGTTCCATTAGTAGTATTATCTGGAGAAGGCACTAAATAAAACCCAAACTGCTTACAAAAAATAATGATTTATTTCTTTCTTGTATTCTTTTACCACCTCTTAAAATTTTTACAAAGCAATGAATATAAAGGAAGAATGAAATAGAACTAACCCTATGGCTTCCTGCAGACAGAGAGTGACAGACAAAATGAATATACACCCATTTGTGTCATCTGAGAGATGGGGATGTCAGTGGCACCAAGAGCTGCTGGCATTTAAAATGCGTCAGCCTGAGAAGTGATAAAATCCTGTGCTTTTCTCTACTTCATAAATCAACCACACAGATAGGAAATCTAGCAAGTATAATAAAATTTTTTATTTGTTCTCTGATACTGCTTTTAAGGAGAGAGTTTAAGGAAGTGAGAAGTAATTTTCAAAATGTGACTTTAATAAAAAACCTAGCTGTAGGTGGTAGAGGCTGCAAAATCTTTTATTGTTACTCAGTCGCAAAACCTATCACCTCGCCCTGACATGCTGCACACAGAGCAGTTGTGTCTTCTGCTGAAACTTCTGAATCACAACAAAACAGAGAATAGTGGTGTCCACTAATCTCACCAGAAGATTTGCAATGATGCTCCCCAGATCCTGCTGCCTGAAGTTCGTGGTATGTTTTATCTCTGTTAGAGACATTTTTGTTTCCAAATTTTTGTTTGGACATCTTTTCTAGAACTTTTAACTACTAATTTTGTGTCTTGTTAATATTTCTCATGAGTATTATTTATATTTACTGTGTATGATATCAGGGATAATAAAAAGTACAAGAAGTACATCCTCGAGTTACGTTTTTTTGTACCTACCCAGACATTAATGACAAAGGCTTATATAAACATTTGATACTAACTTTCTTTAATGGGAGAAATTCTCCAGGTAAAAGAGCATAATTGAGGGTAGATTTTTAGTGAGCATATTCTGCCTTTTGTTGACCCTTCCCTGGAATAATAAATAATAGTTATGTCAGTTTATTTGTTTACATCAGTGATTAAAAAAAACCCCTTTTTTTTTAAGCCAAGAATTCTTTCTTCAGAGGACCCTTATACAGAAATGCAGTGTAGAAAATAGAGAAATGTAGAGTTGTTCTGTTTGAGGAGATGGTCTTTTTGTTTTTTTCTGGCTTGCCTATACTTCCTTTCCCACCTTGCTAATCCTTTCATGCCCTGCTTCACAAGCATGCACACTTCATGAAGCACAATTTGAAAATCACTTGTCTATGTAACTTGTGGCAGAAAGCAAAATATAAAAAATTCAATCTTTAGGAGAAATGGCGTATATATAACATAGCTTCTTTGAGGTCTGATGTGATAAATGCCATAACTCATTTCACATGAAGTGATTTTTTAATGCAATATAGAACTTATTAGAAATCAATAACTTTAGATGTGCTGAATGTTTTTCATAGCCAGGACCCAATTTATTTTATTTTGGGGAATTTTTATGGGATAAATGTTTTTACTATATTTTACTGTATTTTACCTAGATAACAATATAGGAAAAGAAAAATATAACATTTAATCAGATATAAATTTAATGCAAAAGAACTGTTCCTAGGGAATTTTTGAGATAGTTTTAAATTTTATGGCCCAAAGATTATTCATCTGAACTTACCTTTGCATGTTCAGAGAGACATAAGAAGTACAAGTTGAAAAATGCAAATCTTATGTGGTAGAAGGAATTTAAAATGTCCACACTTAAATCTACAAGTACAGATTCTAAACTAACTTATTTTGTAATTTTATTTTGCCTTAATATTGGTACTCTGAAGAGGAAGCCAAAAATTTTTGCAGAAACCAAATAGAGAAAAAGAAATTCCTCATCCAAAAATCATTTTCTATCTCAGCCAGTGAAGCTATCTTTGGGTTGAACACACATGGTGTCCCCTCCTCCCTCCGCCTTCTCTGTTACAAATGGAGGAAATCCACAGAGCAAGACTGTAGTCTGGCAGTCACTCACATGAATTTTTGTTTTCTTTGTGAATTTCACATCACACATCAGGATCAGATTATTTCAAGTGTTTCAGAGAGCCGTACTTACATTGACACATGGTTTGCAATGATTGCAATTTGAAGGCTGTTCTATAAATGGAATTCTCAATACTATTAAGAGCATCTGTAAAGAAAACATGAAATAACATGGATCAATATAACAAGAACCATCTCGTTAGATAAATCTCCCACTCTGGAAGGAAATTCTAGAGATCACGTAGCCCCACTTTATTTTGTAGGCAAAGAAATTAAGGTCTAAGGTTCTCTTTCCTACCTGGGAACAAATTATAATTGTTTACACTATTTGAGGCTACAAGTGATCCTAGACTCACCCTCCGAGCCCACCGAATTAAGGAATCCACCAAAGAGTGAGGAGTACTCCTCCACAAATCTGTCCACTTTTTATATAAACTCAACTTTGTTAATATATTCTAGTCATATGTACATACATGTATTTATATAAAAAATGACTCAAAAATCTATCCATTCATTCAACAAATATTTATTGAGCTCTTACTCTGTGGGCCTGGCATGATTCCAGGCCCTTGAAATATAGCAGTTAGCAAAACAGATAAAAATCCCCACCATGAAGAGCTTAATTTCTAGTGGCATTCACATAATCATTTCAGTAACAGAAGAGGAAGAGACCTAAGCGAAAGAATGAGAAGGGAAAGCCAAAGAAACCAGGAGATACCAATGGCATAAAGGCCAAGGAAGGTGAGTTTCAGATGGTAGAGATAAGCCAATACTTCAGTACCTGGAAGCCACAAGGTAATCAACTATGGACTAAAAAGTAGCCTCTGGATTGTTATGATTAACTTGATTATTGAGAGCTTCGTAAGAGCTGTTTCAGTGTGGTCATGGGGTTAAAAATCAAACTGCACAGGACTGACTGATAAATGTTAGGTGAAGAAAAAACATGAAAGAGGCTGCTTTTTCAAGATTCTTCATCTGAAGGGAAGGCAGGAGAACCATAGCTGGAACAACATGTAAAATCGAAATTGTTTTTTGAAAGAGAAATTCTGGAATGTAGGCAAGGATCGGAGGGGAGGAGCCAGGAGAAATGATGAGGTTGAGGATTCAGGATGTGGGAATCCAGGTGATACCTGGTATAACGAAGTCCCATTTAGGGGGAACCTATTCCCTTAGCTACCAGCATCTATTCACCTTTCTTTTAGTGAATCACCTACCCTTGAACTTAGTCCATAAAATTTTAATGTGTGGATTCCAACTCTCCTGTTTCCACGAGGGACATGTGGCCCTGGCCTGGCCAGTCAGTGAGGGGCTCATCGCCCTCCCCAGACATGGGCACATCACCAAATTCTGGCAAAGAATACACCAATGAAACTCGAATCAAAGACTCTTTGTTCAAGTTATCAGGGAAGAAAACTAATTTTTTTTTTTTTCTATTGGACTTGAAGTTGGAATCCTGGATTGAAGCAGCAGTTATTCTCTTGTCAGGGTGTGTCACTTGAGAATGAAACCGACACATACACAGGAAAGCAGAGATGAACTCGGAGATGGAGAGAAACCACATCCTGGGGACATTTTCTGGGCCCAGGGCAAGCTAGTCTTGCCTTGGGTAATTAATTATATAAAATAATAAAGCCTCTTTGAGTTGGTTTTTCTGTCAAAAGCAACTGAAATATTGCTAACTAATACAATCCCTAAAGTGAAGACAATGGCTGGGCGAGGGTACACAGGTAAAGGAATTAGCTTCGGCATGAAGCCTGTGCCTCATTCCCTGAGAGGGAGAACAAAAAGGTAGGATGGTGGTATGCAGAAGAGTGCATGTCAGAGGCCTTCTGTTTTCCTCATGAAGTTCTGGTCACGTTCACTCAGAGTGATGAGGAGATGGCGGAGTGGAACATTCTGGAATGTTGAGGTACGTGAAAATTCAGAATTGTTACAGTAGCAAATGAGAGAGGAAACCAGCCACAAACTGGAAAGAATTGCCATGCAACTTTGCTTCTCCGATATGTCCTGTAATAACAAATTTCAATTAAATAGAGTCTATATGCTTAATGCTAACTTGGAGGCAAGGTTTTACATGCAGGCAAGCTTTGAGCTCAGGACTTACTTGTATTTATTATGCTGAAGGAGAGATGCCTTGAGGAAAATAAAACTAGTTTCCAATTTAATGTCAGCCGCTTACCATAAAACTCAGGAAATTGGGAGAAAGTGGTATGTATGTTTGAACAGTGTTTGAGACTATTAACACAGCCAGCTCTTTAGCCTTTGCTAAACAGACCCTCAGCAAAACAAGTAAGGGACTGCTCAGTTGGATTTCATTGATTTAAACATACGTAGCAGGATAATTTATGGCAACATTTATGTCTTGTTCTTGCAGCAGTGGGAGAATTTAAAAAATAAAAAGGCAGTGTTTCCATGTCTATTCTTTTGTTTTCCAACATCTACACTCTTTTCACTCCTTTGAGAGATTTGACAGATTCTTTGTGTTTGAGGGGTGACCCTGAAGCCAACACCACTCCAGCCTTAGTGTGAAAAGCCCATCAAAATATTAATGCCACTCATGGAAACGGGAGCGTTGGAATCAACACTACCAGAATTTCACGGACTAAAGTCAGGGCGAAGTTGTTCTTCTGAAGCAAATTAGGTGCTCTGGTTCACCAGCAAAAGGGTGAAAGAGTGCTGGTGGCTAAGAGAATAGGTTCCCTCTGAGAGGGGCTTTAGTGCATGAGATACCACCTGGATTCCCACGTCCTGAATCCTCAACCTCATTGTTTCTCCTGGCTCCTCCCGGACTCATACACACATTTCTGGATTCTCCTTCACTTTTGAAAACCAGTCATGATGTCATGTTGTTCTAGCTATGGCTCTCTCTTTTTTCCTGGTGAGGGAGAGAGGCTGATGCCGAGACAGGAAGCTAGGAGAGGCCTGTCTGGAGTTGGGGTTTGGAGGTCATTTCCAGGTCTGCCTTTATACTAGTTCACTAAATGGAGGGAACGTTTGCATGGTGGAACCAGGGAGACCAGACACTAGGCATGGCAAGGATCTCTGTGTCTAATCTTGACATAGAGTCCCATGTGTTCAAATGGACCCAAAAGCCAAAGAGAAAAAGCATAGCAAGTGGTGGCCACAATGGCACTTCAGACCAAATGGTCTGAACATTTCAGACCAATGTTCAGGATAAAAACCTTAGAGGTTTCTGTCTGTCTCAAAGGGATGGCTTGCTCCTAAACTTCATTCAGTCTAAATTTCATACCAAGCTACAGTGACTTTATTTTGGTTTGCAAAAGGATGTTTGTTGCCCTCGAGTGTTGCGGAGTAAAGTCCTATCTGTTACACGTATGGATATTGAGTGCCTGGCACTGTGCTAAACCGCTGAGCTGATCTTGGCACTGAACCCTACCAGACTCACCATGGCACTGAATTCTATCAGACCGAACCCTATCAGAGGAGTTAGAACACACCAAAGGCCCCTCCCTGAACGTACATTGATTTGATTAATATATGATCCTAAGTTGAAATACTTACCTCAGGTGAATGTGGGCTATGCCTAAAAATGTCACCAAAACAAGCCATCTTGTTTAAGAACCCTCACCCTCTTTTGTTTTTTTTTTTTGTTGTTTTGTTTTGTTTTGAACAGGTGTAACCGCCTCAAAGTACCTACAAGTCGCTTTAAATCTTTTGTTATTTACTATTTCCTTATATTTTAAAAATGCTTAGTTTTCACAAAAGAGTCCAATGTTCGAAAATGGGAGAAGCCAGTAACATTTCTGCCCTATGTCCGGAGAAGTAAAACAAATTAGGAGTAGGGATAACAGTCTGGAAATAATTTACAAAAGTGTAATGCCCAATATTTTTTTCCTTTTGGAAATTGGCCCAGCCTTGTGTCCTGGTTCCTCTCAGATGCATCAGATGAATACAGAGAATCAGCGAACTAGGGACTCCGCAGGTTCCCAGATGCTGCTCTTGGTGGAAGAAATGTAGCTATTCTACCATCTGGCCCATCACACTCCTGTCAAATTATGTTTTGCAGTGTCATCTGACGAAGTTATGCAGCATATCACAGCAAGCTGTGATACAGTACGACGTGGAAAATGAATGTGTGTCCCAGGTGACTCACCACTAGCCTTGTTTCCTCAAGGCTTCTTCTTCTTTTTTTTCCCCCTGCTGGTAGTGAAAACTCAAGAAAGGAAGGAATTGCTGGATATATCAGGCCCAAAGCTATAAATAGAGTAGTTTTAGATGCTTAAAGAAATAATAATGCAAGCTACATATGATCTTGTTCATGGAAGCATTTTGACTGGAAAATATGTTTTGCTTCAAACAATTATTTTTTAGCCAAATCAATATGTGTCATTCATTTCCTATGGATACTAAGAATGTAATAAAACCTCTTTCAACTGTCCATCATCTGGTTTAATGATCCAGAAATAGATATTTCAGGCCAGTGGTCCTCAAAGTGAGGTCCCAAGCAAGCAGCATCACCATCGACTAGGAACTTATGAGAAATGCACATTCTCAGACCCCAGCCCAGACTTACTGAATCATGAACTGTGGAGGTGAAGCCCAGCGTTTTAAAATAAACCTCCAGGTGATTCTTCCTTCAGGGAGAAAAAAATTGGGCTTTGAATGGATTATCTACTGCTCTGTGTTAAGCTTCTTAAAATGACGGTCTCAATTTGGGATACCCAAAGATAATTTGAATTACTCATGAAGTTGTTTTAGATAAATAACTTGAGCGATTATAGAATTTTATAGGAAACATGTAAAGTTAACAATCTAGATTTTAGCTAGGGGAATAAGGCTGCAACTAGATCCAATAATAAAAATGTCACATGCAGGTCCTGGACCTATTTGCCATTTAGAGATGTTAGAAGAAAGGGGAGTTTGTTTCCTTATATCCATTTATCAAATATTCATATGGCGACAGCTGTGAGACCATTCTTCTAACTTTGGGCCCACATAGTCTAGTAAACTACCCATAATATGAAAATATCTACAGTGATATTATTTTTGGGAGGCAATGCACCATTTTATTTATTTATTTTTATTTATTTATTTATATTTATTTATTTATTTATTTATAGTAAATTTATTGGGGTGACATTGGTTAATAAAATTTATAGGATTCAAGTGTGCAATTCTATAATACACCATCTGTATATTGAATCGTATGTTCACCACCCGAAGTCAAATCTCCTTCTGTCACCGTGTGTTTGACTCCTTTATTTATCTCCCCATTTCGTCCCTCTGGTAACCACTAAACCGTTGTCTGTATCTATGAGTTTTTGTTTGTCTTGTTCATTTGTTGCTTTCAGTTTTATATCCCACATATGAGTGAAATCACATAATTGTCAACCCTTTGTCTGACTTATTTTGCTTAGCATGATAGAGTGATGCCATTTTAACAGTAAACTGTGATGATAATTTAAAAATAAGATAAGCCACTTTTTGTAATTAAAATGTAATTATATTGAGACCAAGTCTATCGTTAAATTATTTTTGGTGCTTTGTAGACAATAGACCAAATACTCTTAAATACGTTATGAATTTCTGTTTAGATGAGAACAACTTTTTAATTGCCCAATAGTTTATTTTTTCAGCCAGAAGTTTGCCAAATATCTACTCTACTACAACTCAGAAGTCTAAAAATACAACATCTGTGCCTAATTTTTTTGTTTACAAACTGTGCTCAGAAATTTGACAACAATACTCACCTTGTTTATCTGGGTCCATTTCAAGAATTTCTTGGAATGACAGATGGCAAGGGGATCCTCGTAACTGGAAATAATATTTTAAGTGAAGGTTTTGCAGTAAAAGCGTGAGGATCTTGAAGCAAAAAGACAATGAAACAAAGTCATTTCATCAGCGGAACAAGAATCTGAAGTGTTTAGAAAGACTCTGAAGTCTCTTGGGAGGATAAAAACAAGAAGCATAGGGGTAGAGTTTTCTTATACTGGTCTTATACTGTTTATGCTTCTGGGGATTTAGAGCTGTATCGGTAATTGAGAACAGACAGCTCCTGAAACTAATATTGTGAATACTTAGAACTTTTGAGGCATTATAATTTTAGGAGTGAACTGAATTCTCATATTGAGAAAATGTAAATTTACTTAAATTTTGAAGGACAAAATTTTAAGCTCTTAATGCTTAAATTTCTAATACCACTATGCTAAACAATTCTATATATTAAATTTCAGACAAATACTATTAATTTAAATACCTCATCACACACACGTGTGTGTATATATACAGAATTCATTCAATATTCTATTTTAAAAAGAGTAATAAATTAGCTATCTATTGTTTCATGTTGCAACTATTGTTCAAACTCAATACATACATATATATATTGGCTTTCAACAACAAAAAAATGAGTTATGCTATAAGAAAAGCTAATACGGTTCGAAGAAAAAGACTTTTTTATAATGAGCAGTTGAAAATTGTTTTAAAAAGTTACACTGTCATGTTAAATTTAAATAGTACTCCCCCCACCCCCTTCTAATGAATGAATCAAGGTGTAAACTACAGGACAAACAAGTAACATTTTACAAAGAGAGAAACTGAAGCAAACACTGATTACATTCGTTCTTTAAAAATATGATAGCAGTAGTGATAATTCCAGACTGGTAAAAACAAGAAAGGTTTCAATTGTATTTAAGTAAGATTTGTTTTGAAAAGTTGTGGTAAGTTTGTAGGAGGGTCCAGTCCTGTCCCAACCATGGTGCAGCTGGAGATACAGTCTCTCCACTTCCCCACCAGGTCCTTACCTTTCTTAGTTTCCTTGGAGAAGTGTTTTAGTCAAACATTCTGTACAAATTACACAGCAGTTTTGGAAGAGGGAAAAGCTGAGAAATAACAGATTTCTAAATGTGGTATTCTTAAGGACAGGGGCTGTCTTATCCCGACTGCTCAGTAATTGCATGCAAAACAGTGACATTGAATCTACACTGTTTTTTTTAAGGGCTCGCAGAAGTGCATTCATTAGTAATAAAGATCTTGAATAATTTAAGGCCACTCCAACATCTCTATTTCTAAGGGCTGTTTCTGTATTAATTTCATGTAGAGGAGAGGCGAGTAAGACATCTTCTGGGTGCTGTAGAGATCAGGGGTTGCCATAGAGATTAGGAAACAGTAAGAAGGGCTCCGCCTCCCAGGTAACAGCCGCCTTCCTAACCAACCCAGATAAGATATTCTAATTTATTTGATTAATTCTTTTACAAATAACAGAGGCACGGTTGCATATTTTAAAAAGGCATCAGATGTCATGCAAGTCTTCAAAAGGATAAAAATAATCTGTTACAAAGGACATTTCCTCTCAAATTGTAAATTTAATCTGAAAATGTGTTTTTTAAGAAGCTCAGATTACAAACAAACGTCTTCTAATTCTAATAGTGTTTAAAAAACAAACTAGATCGCATGAACCAAATGTATTAGAACTTTACAGCTAATGTCTGTAGCTGCCGAAGAGGGAGAGAGTCGATTTTAACATGTCTTTCAAAACAGTTAGAACCCAAAACACGGGCATATTACTCCATGAGCAGTATCTAGAGAACCAGAAGGGCCACAAGTCTGTGGTCCCAACTGAGTCACCTAAGACAATTATGATAAGTGGTCACTAATCTACTCCAGAATGTCCCATAATAAAAATCTGTTGGAAAGTGATTATAATATCTAAAGATAGCCAACTTATTTCCTTTCCTTTTGAAAAGTATCGGTATCACAGTATTGGTTTCTTAAAAACTGAAACTTGGGATATTTAAAAAAATGAAAATTGATTAGTAATGGGGCAAAAATATAGTCAAGTGAAAGGGGGAAAAATATTTGCCTTTCTCTATATAAACCTATTGATTTTCTGGGAGCAGATAAGACTGTGTAGGAAGAGACTAAGTTTATCTCACATAAAGTCTATACCTGAGTGCTGCAGACTCAAAGTTGGAATCATATTTAGAATTTTTATATTCCATTATATCTGCATCAAGATATATTTGAAGTATTGGTAATAGGGGGAGGTTGGAATGTTTTCCTGAATGCTGCCATGCTAAAATTTGAGCAAATCTCTGGCATTATGTGGATCAAGAATCATAATAGTAATAATAATAATAATAATAATAATAATAATAATAATAAAATAGAACTATTATACAATATGCTGTAATTACAGCATAGTGAATGTAGTCTCTCTTCTCTCTTCCTCTCTCTCTCAAAATATCTTATCATACTATACTAACCTTTTCACACATGGGAAGTACTTTATGGCTTCTCTTTGGCATATCTGAATTGCCAGTATCACTATTCTTGAGTTTTGGGCCATCGTTAAGTAAAATAAAGGTGACTTGAATACTGTACTGTGATACTGCAGCAGCTGAACTGATAACCGAGTTGGTTATTAAATGACTAATGGGCATACGGCATGAAGACGCTGGACAAAGGAATGATTTGTGTCCGTGGAGAGATGGAGTAGGATGGTTGTAGGTTTCATCACGTTACTCGGAATAGCATGCAATTTAAAATTTATAAATTGTTTATTTCCAGAATTTTCCATCTAATATTTTCAGACTGCAGTTGACCATGGGTAACTGAGATCATGGAAAATGAAACCGTGGATAAGGGGGGACTACTGTACTTTCCTCCTGGTGCAATTCCATATCTTATATTAAGTGGGTATAGTGATTAAAATCAGTTTGCTCGATTCACCTATGGGAGTCTCTCCTAGAGCATCTTGGTCATCCCGTAGTGGTTCATACACCCAATAGTTCATATTCATGCTGGAAAGTACAGTCTGTTGGGGATAGGGCTCAATTTTCTGACAGTGCCCCTAAAGAGGAGAAACAGCCCACGTCTCTCTAGCTCCTTCCTAGATGTCCACCTATTGGAGAAGCAACTGATTATCTGACTGGTCAGGACTTGACACCTACTGGGAAAAACATCATTAAGGGGCAGGATACTGCCTTGAAAGGGGATGTGTGTTCATGGTTGTATTTTCTGTTCCAGCTTTTTCACCTGGCTCCAGCTCATAACTGATTGGCATACCTGATTTGAGGGAAATGGAACAGGAAGCTCTGCTTGGGTTTTTTGGTCTAAGTCACATCTTCCAGTCTACTTCAACTTTACCAGGAAGAAGCCCTGCCTACTGAGGGGCACCCACCACATGCCCAGCTGTGGGTAGAGTGCCGGGTGTCTTCCCACTCCATCACTGTCCTTTGTGGTAACACTCCTTTGGTGGAGGCCCAAGGAGAGGCAGGGGAAATAGTAGAATCAGGGCACAAAAGCTCAACCCAAGTCCGTAATACAGACAGACATTATGATTTCTTCACAATGACGTCAAATGAGGTGCTGACATTGGGAACAAGCAAAAATCAGTCATGGTTTTGAATCGTGATGGTGTAGAAGCAATATAGGAGCATCTGAAATTTCACTAAATTTTCAGAAAGTAGGCTATACATTGAGTTATTTAAAACTACAAAGAAAGCACAGATATCAGCAGTTTTTAACACGACTCCTGGGCTTTCAAAAGTTCTTAACTGGCATTTGTAAAGAATCCTATTTGAAAATATATGAGCACATATTGCTTTAACTACTATTTTAATAAAAGACTTAATTTTTACTTAAACCGTGCAATTATATGGTAAAAATATATGCTTTTCTTTAAAAATTCAGGTCACATCTGGTATCAAGAAACAGAAAATTATTCAATCTAAGCTAAAGTAAAAGTGTGATTTACAATAAAAATAATTATGTCATGCAAATCCAAGGAAAGTCTATGACACCTAGGTCTTATGAAGGCAGGAGTTTGTGGCCTTCTCTAGTTTACTACCGTTACTGTCACTCAGACACCAACTTACTCATCCATTTTTCTCAGTTCAAATTTTTTTAGAAAGCAAGAGAAAATATGATTGTTTCTTTGTGAGTAAGATGTATCTCTCCTGGACCAATCAGTTGAGGCCAAGGTGATAAGGAATCTGAGCAAACGTGGCCACGTAGGCTCATGTCTTAGGTATGGCCTGCAGGAGAAAGAAGGTTCTCTGTGAAGGATGTACAAGTGAGGACTCAGTATCTGACAACTCTGTTTTATTGTAGTTCAGAAACATCTATTGATACCAAACCATTTATGAGAAAATACAATAATAAGCAAACATATGAGTAGATGCACAAAATAACTGAATTCTTGACTTTTGTGTGTGTGTCCTGTTACTGTTATTTGCGTAGCATAATATTATCTGAGACTGAAGTAAATCTTTCAAATGATTCTTCTCTAAGTATAGACATTCATAGGTCTTTCTATATTTATGAATACCAAATAATTTTATAGTTGGTCTAATTTGATCTGCTACTGTTCCATAGTTTTGCCTTCGGGTTCTGTAAAAAGAAGAAAAATGACAAGATGTAACAATTTTAAAAATACAATAGTAATATTTTTTTAAGTCAGTTTTTCTCTTGCTCCCCCTTCCTTCTATTTACTGGATTCCTGTATTCAATCTGATTCAATTGCTGAGAGACTGTGCGTGTGAGGGGGATCCTATGAGGGAAATAGAACCATATGACCATCATTAGACCGTAATCTATTTCTATGAGTAGTCTCTCTTGGATCCTTTGCTTCTCATTTTGAATTTTGTTTGCATCTATGTTGTTAGTTCCATTTCTTCTCTTGGTCCTGCCTTCCCTCTATGCACCAATTCCAATAGCTATTCCTCATTTTGAAAATGGAAGGTGTAATGGATTTGTTCATTTTATTGGACATTTAAATAAAAGTGTGGAGGCATGAATGAATGTCCTGAATGGTTAACTACAAAGAAATCTACATCAGCCTTGTTTTCATAAATTATCACAACAGCTCAGTTATATACATTGAAAATCTGGACTCTCAGATGTATCTATGTCCATTTCCTTTCTTACTCATTCTGAGGGGAGGATTTGGTTGTCACTGTTCTAGTCTTGTTTATGAAAGTAGGAGGTGAATTCTAGGAGAGTCAGCAAGCAAAGCTGATCCCTGGGGATGGGGGAGGGGGGATTGAAAAGCATGGTATCACAGGAACATGGTCTCTTCTGTCCAGTTCCACTTATAGAATAAGAAAAGACTAGTTAATGTTTCATCTACCACCTACCATTTATGGGTTCCTGACTGAGTAGCTGTTCAGGGTTGGTTTCAGAAATCAGATCTGCAAAATCCACTGCAGTAAATAGAGAATTAAGAACAGAGTTTTTAGTATTTAAAGAGCATCGATTGTCCTGTTCGTTTGTTGCTTTTAGGTTAGGACAAACAGAGACTCATGGGCATGGACTATAGACTAGTGGTTAGAGGGTAGAGGGTGAGAGGAAAGGGGGAGGTAGACGGGATAAAGGGGGTCAAATATGTGGTGACAGAAAGAAATCTAACTATGGGAGGTGAACGCACAGTGTAAATATATATATGCCTTACTGTTATTAAAGTGTACAGCTGAAACTTATTGGATTTCATTAACCAATGTCACCATTAAAAAATAAATAAATAAATAAAAATTTTAAAGAAAGCACATTAATTTTTGCAGTTATTCTCATTTTCTCCTATCTTGTTCTTTCCACTCCAAGTTTCTCTGAATGCCTTGCTCTTTTTGAAGTTGCAAGATGCCAAGTTGCTTTTATATAGAGTTTCAACCCATGACAGTGGTTTATCCATGCCCTTGCGGGCAATGGGAGCAAGTAGATATCCAGCCAAACAGCCCAGTGCAGCATATTTCCACCAACATCTCTATGAAGTTTTGGTCCCTACAACGTAAATCACTGGGCAACTTCTCAGTGCTTTCCAGTTCCCTCCCATACAGAGAGTTTCAGGTAAAGAAGTAGTAAAGATGGAAAAGTCTAGATTATTCTCTTTTAGATATATTATTTATATAGGCAGATTTAGCAAATAGAGAAGCTTCTACATAATATTAAGTACATAAATATTAACAAGCATTGTGTAAATATATTTACATATATATCATGTAAATATATTTATACATATATATTTACATATATATCTATATATCTACATCCATCTATAGCTAGAGAGAGAGAGAGAGAGTGTGTTAGTTCTCAGATTTTTTCTGTTAAAGAGAATTCTAATTTGGTCTTTTCAGTCTTTCTTCTCATCCACCTTCTGAGGAGGATCTTGACTTGCCAAGTCAGCTATTCTGGATTTTGTAATGAAGAATAGAAAATAAAGGGAAAGGTGAGAAGGATGAAACACAAGAGGCTAAAGCTGAGGTTAGAGTATTTGGGGAGAGTTTGAGATTAAATACGACATGGAAGCAGTTTCCGTATTTAAAAATATTTTGTTGACATTTTTATTCCCCGCCCCCAAAGTGTTTATGAAGCATAAAAGAAGAAACAGAGTTATTTCAAAATTACTTCAATTGCTGGACTATGTTCTGACCACAGCATCGTTCTGAGACCGGACAGCGTGAGTCATGACTCAGCACTACAGAGATTGTTTACAACTCAACTGACTTACCATCTGACATAACTAGATCTTTTTCTTCCTCTTGGAGTACAGAAGAATTTATGCTATCTTTATGTTCTGAAACCAAAACTGATAAAACATATTGGGTTTAGAATATAACTAACAACCTGTGAGATGATCTAAGTCAGTGTTTTCAAACTTTCTTGACCATGACCCACAGTAAAAAATACATTTTACATTATAGTCCAGTACATGCACTTATGTGCATATAATGAAACAAAAAGTTACATGAAACAATATTTGCCCTTTTCCAAACTATTCTTACCTTTTTTTTTTTAATCTTTCCTTCACCTCCTACTTATCTTTTTTTTTTTTTTCCTATTCTAGTTCATTGGAAAAAAAATTCTGGTCTCCCTATTTACCCTTTTTTATCAATTTCATCCTAGTTCAAAGAAAAATGCTAGTTATTAAATTCATTTCATGACCCACTAAATTTTTTCACAACCCACCTAATCCACAATATAGAAAATATAATGTTATATTTTATTCTAATGCTCATTCAACAAAAAGCCCCCAAAACGACCTGAAATTAATTCCATTTTCTCCACTTTATCACCACTAAACTTCTTTAGTCTTTATAAGACTATAACTTAGTAAAGGGTCTAAACACCTAAATTTTAATTAACAACTTAAATTGTTCCAATGCAAAGACTCAGGAATATAAACTCTACAACTTGGCTTCCTTTCTCCATCCTTGAAAGATGTCAGTCATCTTCTTCCTGATAGATCTTACTGTGTTCTCAGATCTCTCACAAGAGCCTTACGGACGTTGGTCCTTTTCTTAAGTATTGCACCAGTTTGAGTATAACACCAGTTGGGCCAACTGGCATAATAGTGCTTTCACTCAGATCCCTCAGAGATACTGTCCATGTAACTGAGCGTCTTAGATATATGTCTATTCTGGCTGGGATTGAGTTTACCACACTCTTCTGGACAGTGATTTGGGTTGTTGGATCATCCTCTAGAGGCCCAGTGATAAAGCAGATTAGTCCACTAAGCATGACCCCATCTATTTTGTGCTTTGTCCCGCCACCCACCAGCCATATTGCTGAGCTCCCAACCAACCATTCGGCCAAATGACAGATGCCCCCTACCTACTTTTTCTAGCTTTACTTATCCTTTTTAGATCCTCTGTTCTTGCCTAGCTATCCAACTTACTGTCTTCTGAATATAATTTTATACTGCCTCAGGTTCATACTTCTGGTCATGCCTTGATCACCTGAAATGCCTCCTTTGCTTACCTTTGCTTATGTTTTTCCTTCTGGTAAGATACCTTTCACAGTCTCTTTGCCACCCAACCCTCCACTTGCACACCTCCTTTTCACTAAATTACATGAGTAATTCCTACTCATCCTTCTAGACTCAGTTCCTATTTCATGTCTTTGTGAAAGTTTTTCCTAACATTCCCAGTCTATATCGAGAGACCCCCATGTGGTCCCATTATTCCCTGGGCCTCTCTCTATCATAATACTTACCTCTCAATAGAATAGTTTTTAATTCGCTTTCCTATGTCCCATGCTAGATGGTGAGCACGTTGAGGGCAAGAACAGTGTTTGATTTATGTTTATAACCCTAGCACCTAAGACTGATTTCTTTTTTTATTGTTGTATAAATATATAACATGAAATCTGCTTAACAAATTTTGAAGTGTACAGTACAGTATTGTTAACTATATGCACATTATTGTATAGTAGATCTCTAAAATTTTTTCATCTTATGTGACTGTACTAGCACAGTTTCTACATAAATGCCCACTTGATTATCTTTAGCCATCTCAGGTCACAACTAGATTTCAAGATATTATTAAATTTTCTTCCTACAGTATAAGGATCTTTCCTTCTAAGTTTCTAGATTACTTATTATTTAAGTACTTTCCTTTTGACCTATCTTGTCCTGTTTTATTGAACTTTTTAATTCATTGCATATCTTGGCATTTCCCTTTTCATATTCTCATGGGTCCTTCCTCCCAGATGTGTCTGTGTGGTTATAACTCCCTTATTGTATCCCCCAGTGACCAGCACACAGAAGGTGTTCAATGAATATCTGGTAATTTCCTTCAAAGATTTTAATAGATTTTAAATATTTTCTTGTTTTTTAGTATAGGATGATGCTGATGAAGGATTCAATTCCCATTTTATGGCTAATAAGTTATCAAATTCCTTTGTATTTTAGTGAAAATTCTTTGAAATTTAGTGTTAAGCCTTGGATAAAAAGGATATTTCTTTTTTTCAATTCATATACCTACCATCTGAGACACTTTGAATTTCCTGGTTGTCATCTGTGGTGGATAAGGTGGTCTTTTTATTTCTTTTGGTTGAGAGGGTTTCTAAAAGTCAGAAAATTAAGTATTAAACTTAATTGAAAAGATTAAACAATCCTCACACATGAATCATCTCATTGATATGTTAATAAGCAGAGATGTCCAAACTCTGCAGATTCTGATTATTTTCAATGCTCTGATCTTAGATCTCTGAAACAGTGTTTTGGGCAAGGTCCAATGGTGACAGAGTCAAGATCAATCAATTCTATACATGCCTTGACCTTTATTAATAAAAACACAGCATGAAATAAGGTCATTTTCTTTCAGAAAACCTTCTGTAATGAAAATGTTATGGGAAATTTAGGACTAACAGTCAATGGAGTCAAATGTACAATGACTGCTTTATAGCCCATTATCATGAAAGGAATTTGCAGCTCTAGTTGGCCAAATGCAGGAAGCCACACAGAGGGCCTCTAAATTCTGAGAATAAAAGTTTGCATTAAAACCAACTGCTCATAAGACTTCTATGCCTTTGCCCTTCGCCTCTGCTCTGCCTCTGGGCTTTGTCTGGTTTGGCCCACTCTTGGCGGCTTGACTGCCAGCCAGAATCAAGTCTGAATTCTCAAAGCCCACACTTTGCCCATAATCTCTTTTCCTTGTGGTCCCTACGCCCTTCTTTCCACTTCCAGCACTTTGGCCTCACTGAAATTTATCTGGTCTGGACCAAGGGCAATCCTGTCCCCTGCCAGGTTCTTCTTACCAGAAACCATTTTAATTAGTTGGAATCTGTACCATACTGGTTGTTAAATATTTTCAATATTGCCCCTGCCTGGAACTTTTTAATTTCTTTTTAATACTTCCTTCTTTATCCAATCTAGACCCCTTTAGTCAGTCTATCACATCATCAGCTTTCTTGCAATTATCCTCAATTTCTTTGCCTCACCTTCCTTCCTTCCCAAATACTAAGTAATATTACAAAATTGTACTCATTTTCCATTTCCATATTCAATGCCAATGACCAGCTCACCTTAGCACCCATTTAGGGTGCCAGTAAAACAAGAGGAATACGAGAAAAAAATATGAGAAAATAAAACTTTTTGGGAGATTATTTAATATTCCAAATAAAGTCATAATGGGAACACTCAGAACTTTTTTTTTAGAATACAACATAGTGTTATTTGTATTCTATCTAATTGCATTTATTCTAATTGCAGGGGCGGCAGTACACCCTAATATTTCAGGGCTTACTACGAATCATGCATCTAGGTTTTCGCTCCTCTGTTTCCAGGCAACCAAGCACCTTTGCAGGGAATCACATAAAAGTACATTGGAGTCACGGTTTCTAACTTCCACTGAGCCTTCAGCTCTGAAAAAAATTTTGTGTTTTTCCATTGTCCCTCTTTTCTTTTTCTTTTAACAGTTATTTCAAACCTTCGCCTCTTTCTGTATGACCCTAGACTTTCCCCTAGTCTTGGGACCTAGCCTAGCTGCCTATTTTGTTCTGAGTCTCTCCATCCTACATGCTTCCCTGTACTCACACTCATCACCTCTTCTCTTGTCCTGGGCCTCAGCGGCAGGGATGCTTCCTGTTTGAAGCTGAGCCTGTGCTCTGGATCTTGTTTTCTACTGTTATCTTGAGAATCTTTCTCCTCATTCTCCTCTATCTTCACCCTCTCCCTCTCCAATGGTAGTCAAACATTAATATCCATCAATCCATAGGTAACTATCTATTTTATCTTTTTTATATTTTTGTAGGTGTGAACCATGCATATGGAACAATATTCAAAAGGCTGAGAGACCATGCAGTGAAGATGTCTTTTTTCCCCAGCTTTCATGTCCTTCCTCAGAGTCACCACGCTTATCAGCTTTTTCTGATAACTACCAGTTGCTGATGACTCATCTCCAGCCCAGATCACTCACATGGCCTCCAGAAACATGTATTCATCACCCACCAGATATTTTCACTTAATGCTTCTTGAAGATCTGCTCCTTCTCCTACATTCCTTACCTTAACCACAGCCACCTAATCATTTTCATAAGTACACACAGCAAATGACAAAAACAATAGAGGCAACTAGCCTGGGGATTGAAGCTGCTCCAGACTCAGCCCCTGGAGTCAAAGAGATCAATTGCCCTACACAGCCAATACCTCTGTGGCTGACTACTTGGGAAGCTCTGTCTTAGGCAATGACACCACCATATGTCCAGATGCCAAAAATGTTGAGGCATTCTTGACTCCCTGGAGCTCTCTCTTACCCTCTATCTCAGATCAGTCCAATTTGGATAATTTTATTGCTTTCAAATTTAGCCCCTTCTCTACGTCCCTATGGCTGCTTCTTGGTTAAGATCTTCATCATTTCTCTACCTGCAAAAGAACTGGTCTTATTACTTTTGGTCTCTTCCCTCCAATTCATTCTTCCCATATGAAGAGTGATCATTCTAAAATCAGAATTTCCTCCTGTTCCTCCCTTGCCTTAAAACCTGCATTGATTTTAACAAGGTAAGTAACCTCTCTGCCTCCTGACATTTCTCACCTTGAACTTCATTTTCCAGATCAAAGGAATTGGCACTTCTCAAAAAGTTCTTTCTTCTGTGTCTTTGTATATGTTGCTTCCTCTGAATGGAACAGCCCTGTCATTTAGCTTAGCTAATGCTTTCTTTCCTCTTGTGACTGGGTTTAGATGTCACCTCCTCCAGAAAGCCCCCATCGAAATCCTAATGGGGGATTCTCAGTGTTCGCACGGCACCCAGCACATTCCTCTAGCCCACAGCACTAAGTACACCAGCTCCATGGTAAGACCGTGGTTACTAAGGCTAGAGTCCTCCCTTCCCACTCTGGTCTCATTTCTGCCCTCTTTATTCCACAATATTGCTCTCATCAAAGTCACAAATGACTTTTATGTCATACATCCATTGGGTACTTTTCAGGCCTCCTTTTATTTGTTTCCTTGGCAGCACCTGACAGTGTAGGCCAGCCCTCATTCCTGAAACACCCTTTTTCTTTATGTCTTCCATGTCATCAGATTTCAGGGTTTTGTCCTGTCTCTCTGACAACCCCTTTCTCACAGTCTTCTGTCAGCTGTGCCTGGTCTACCTAACCATTAAAGGAGAAGTTCCTCCAGGCTTCTCTTTACACACTTTCTAGACACTCCGTCATGCTCATGGCTTCATATCTATTTATGAGGCAACTACTACCACTTTGACAACTGCAATCCAGATCTTTCTGAGCTCCAGAAAGTATGTCATTCTTTATCTGATATTTCAATTTTAGATATTCCAAAGGTATTTCACAATCAAAATGTAAGAAACTAAACTCATTCTTCTCTGGCTCTGTGCCCTTCCTTTACACATATTCTCTATCAACACACATATTCTCTATCACTTTCTCAAATAATGTTCTATTATCATTTTTCTCCTATCAGTAAATCCATCCCATTGCTCAACCGGAAGCCTGAGTTCTCTGTTAAACCCCAGAGCCAATCTGTCATCAAGTCTTGATAATTCCACCTCCTAAATATCTCTCAAAATTCTACTGCCTCTAGCCTTGTCTGCAATCATCTCTTCCTCGTGTCACTGGGCCACCCCCTTAATCCCAGATTTTCTGCAAACAGTCTAGCCTTGTTCCAATCTGTTTTCCAAACTAATTGCAAACCTGATCGGGTCACTCTCCATCCAGAAGCCTTCCGTAACTCTCATCTCTTCTTTATGGTTTTGTCTCTCAGCTTTATCTCTTTAGGCTTTAGCCAAACGAGCTTTTTTTTTTGCAATTTTTCAAACAAGCTGATAGATGCTTTCCTGCCTCAAGTTCTTTCCTTATATCCTCAGGCATAAGCTCTCACAGTTTAACATCCTTAGTCCATCATCCCTAAGATTCAACACGACTGCAGTCACTTGTATAATTTATGATCCCTTGATGGACTGTGTGTTCCAAAAGAGCAAGAATAGGTCTCTTATTCACCCCATATTTCTAGCTCTTAGCCCTGGCTCACAGTTGGTACTCCATAAATATTAGTGAAAGGGAAGAATGCTGGGCTCTCAAAAGGCACTTGACTAAAAAAAGCTCATTGCAAAAATAAATTTATTTCTATGTTACTATTTCCATATTTAAGATGAGACTTTTTTTAAGGCAAAAGAAGGAAAGATGATAGCACTCCTTGTGAGTTTATGACTACACAAAATGTCAATAAGAAAACAAACTTATTGAAATGTATTATATTTTAAAAAACTATCTAAACAAACGTAGTATTAAGGGGTTGAACTTTGTTCCCCAAAAGATACGTTGAAGTACTAGTCCCTGGTACTTGTGATCTTATTTGGAAATAGAGTTTTAGCAGATATAATCGAGTTAATATGGGTCGTATTGCATTAGGGTGGACCCTAAATGCAATGACTGGTATCACTACAAGGAGAGAGAGGTTTGGAAACATAGACATACACACAGGGAAGTCAGATATGTGAAGGCAGAGGCAGAGATTAGAGTGATGCAGCTACAAATCAGGAATGACCTATATAATTTTGTTAAGCCCAATAATTTAATTAAAAAAATTAATTAAATTATTGGGCTTAACAAAATTATATAGGTTTCAAGCGTACAACTCGATAATACATCATCTGTATATTGCAGTGTGTGTTCACACTTTGATTTAGGTTTTCTAGTCTCCAGGACCATAAGAAAATAAGTTTCTGTTGTTTTTTTAAGTCATTCAATTTTTTCCTAATTTGTTGTGGCAGCCTTAAGAAACTGATATGTATGATATACACAAAATTTATAAAATCATAGTGTTGTTAAGATGTGATTTTGATGTCATTCTGATGAGATGTTTTATTTCAAAGGACACAGTGAACTTGGCAGTTTATTTTGTCAAAAATTTAGTTTAAAGGTAATAAAATATGGATTGTAGTTATATATATGAAATAGTGATTCAGTTTTAACAAATATTTTAATAGCAGCTCAATAAAACAGCACATCTAAAAGATTACCTGATTGATATGGTTGAAAATATATCAAATCTCCCAGTGCAACAAGTTTCTCCTGTTGAAAAATTTTATAATCAGAGAATTAAATGATCACAATTACTAACTTAATCATTATTTAATAGAAAAGCACTTTGATTCCTGATGTTAAAATAACCAACAAATATTTTTAACATATCATAAATAAGTAGTGTTCATCTGCTAATTTCCTCAAAACTGGTGTTGGCTCCTTCTTCTTTTTGGACTAAGATTCAAATTGAACCCAAAGAAAAACCAATGTATGCCTTGACCTGGGGGGTTCAGTTTAAGGCCATTATTAAAGCCAGTTGCCCTGTATCTATTCTGATGTTACCTGAATTAGATCACTCGTCATTCTGGTCATTATTTGCTCACTTATTTCAATATCTTTGAGATCTGTGAGAACCACCCAAGTTCCATTCTCAAATTTCACAGGCATAGAAAAGACAATCCCTTCAGGAATACCAAACTGACCTGCAGTGAACAAACACGAAGTAAAACAAAAGCACTCAGAAAAGTAAGTCATAGTTATTAAGCATTATAGAAAAGAACAGAGCACATGATTTTGAATAATGGTGGAACTAAATTTCTGGGAGTTCCTCCCCAGGAAGGGCTGAAACACTTACTCTAGAAGTACTGATTGAGTATCTGTCCAAGTTCTGACAATCCCCCCTTCTGTGTTTCTCTCAGAAGGAAGAACCATTGTTCTTCTACATCCCTTTTGTTCTGGGTTCAGACTCCCTGCCTCTGCCTGGAGGGCTGATGCAGTCTTTTTCTTCCACCTTTTCTGAGTTCCTTCTGTCTGCTTTTCTTGGCTTTTCCTTGTTCCCCTAGGTAGGTAGTCCATGAGCCCAAGGCCTTTGTCCCACCTGGCCTTCCACTCTGCTAGCCTACTACGGCGGTCACAGAGCTAAGGTCTGAGGACTAGTAAGTGAAAGAGGGAGCAGAAAAAATGGTGATATCTTCATAGCTCCCAGCTCCCAGTTTGGATATGCTCCGAATAGAAAAGATTGACAATACTTATTACTAACTGAGCAACATTCAGATAAAATTGGTCCCACCACCACCACTTTTTGTGCCTTAATCAAATAAGAAAATTATGCTTGCCATTCTGTTCATCAAAAATGTTGCCACTAGGGCAAAAAAATGCAGATAGTCAGGAAACTAGGATCTAAAAAACTTTTCCTCAAAAGGTGTCCCAGTTTCTCTGTTCACTTTCTGTTTGTTTTCTCTGTAAAGAGCCAGCTTTATGGGTGGACAACACATGAAGGCTTACCTTTATGGTACAGTTTAACTATACAGTACAAAGATCACTTGCTCCTCATCCCCAATATTGCATTGTTTATTGATGAATTCCTATAGAGATTAATAACAATTTCTACAAATAAAGATAAGGTTTAAAATGCCTATTCACTAAAAAGGTAATATACTGATTTGAGTTCACACATCTTAACTTCAACTGAACAAGATTCACCAAGTGTCTACCCATGAAGGAGCAGCAAGAAGACCCAGTCAAAGCCCTGCACTCAAGGCTTACACATTCCAGTGGAGGGAACATACACGACAAATCATACCATCAATAAAGGCAGGTTGTAATATGCTTTCTGATGGAGGATCACAATGCTATGTGAATATAGAGGAGAGACAGAGATTAATCTGACTTGGGGGATTTGGGGAGATTTCCCTGAGCTGCACTATAGTCATAGGAAGAATGGGGAGGAAGGTCGTCTCACTAATAACATAAGGAATATAAGGAACACAGTCATGAAATTATGAAAACACAGACATCTTAGAGACCATGTAAGAGATAGATAGGTGGGGACTCAGAAGCAGGAGCATGGGTCATACATGGAGGTTCTTCAATATTACAAGATAGGAAAGACCCAGGTTTTACCTTCACTCAATACTCCTAAGGACACAATCTCTCCAGCTGGTGAGCCATGGTACCAGTATTTCAACGTAGTGGCTATACTGTGTGCAGCTAAGATGGCTCCAAATTGTTTTCCTGTGGCAGTCAGCTCTTCAAGAGTTGCCACAAATTCTTTGTTTACCCACTCGCTATAAGAGGAGAAACAATTTTACAATGGAGGAAGGCATGAAAATGAAAAAGATTGTTCCCCGGGTCAGCAGATCTAAGTACAAGAAATCATCTCCACAAAATAGAAATATGACTTCCTATGTCCTTCTTTCATCCATAAAAAGTGGATTGAAAAGTAATGAAATAAAACAGAAAGGAATACCAAAGTTTCAAACTAAAACTGTGGAAATATAAACATGCAACACAGAAAAGTGGTCAAAGGATGTGAGAACAATTACGTCCATTATAAAGAATTTATTCTATGTAGATGCTATCTCGGAACCAGTGGTATCCTTCATTTTAAGTAAAATATTATTATAAAACATTAAAAGTTATTCACATTAAAAACTAGAGAAATAATTATGTTTTTATAGTTTGAAGTTTAAAGTCAAGGAATAGTCCAAAAGCTAAATGCTGCCCCTGCTAAGCTACCAAGATACAGCTCCATATGACACTGCCCCCACCCAGGCAGCAAACATAAAGGAACCATGCTGGCCAACTTGGAGACACGCTATTTCTAGGGATAGGCAAAGTTCCTAAGGTCTGAGGAAGGGAAGGAAAGGGAGGGGCAGTGGAAAGGAAAGAGCTACAGAGTTTTGTAAAATGCTTCAAAGGCGCTCCTCCCCCTTTCTCTCCTCTGCCCTATTTTATATGGTAGTGTTGACAGTGGCGGGCACAGTTTTAAGTGTTTATCTATGGTATTAATCCATTTAATCTTCCCAATAACCAGATAAGGCCATACTATAGTATCATTTCCTCTTTGCAGATGAAAACACTGAGTCATAGAGAGGTTAAGGAACTTCTCCAAAGTCACACGGCTATTAAGTGGCTACCTGAGAATTCCAACCCAGGTGGCTTGGTTCTAGGGACTGTTGTACCCCTTGCCACTTCTCAACTCTGCCTCTCCTGGGAGAGAACACCCAGCATTGCCTGGACCTGCTCATCATCTTAATTTCTTGTTCTTAAAATGTGTCAACCAATTTCAACCCGGATACATATCTCTTTACATTAAAAAAGATTCACTTTACATACACTTGTCCTTACACTAAATAAGATTCACTTTATAAATGCTTGCTTTAAAGATAACTTTAATGGAATACGTGAGCTGCTTTAAGAATATCTGAAATAAAGAAATTTATAACTTCAAAACCAAATAAGCTGAGGGGGGTAGAGATTGACTAGTTCTATGTTTCTTAGAGAGCATAAATGAAGATGAGTGTGAACAATACCAAGTTATTTTTGTACAAAGATTTCTGAGATGATTTAAAAGATGATAATAGCTATTAAACATTTATTCAACATTGTTAGTATACTTAGTTTAAAAAATATACAGTACCTATCAAAAATCAAGCTTAAAACAGGGCGTGAAAAATGAGGAGGTCCCCAAATAGCACTCTCATAATTGTAAATTTTGGCCTTTCTCAGATCGACGTAGCTATTTCCACTAATATTACCCCAAATTATCACATCTTTGATGCCTATGAAGAAAAAAAAACATAATTAACATAATTTTTAATGTTAATATAAATAGTTTCCTACAGCTTATTTTAGAATTGGTCCTTTTTCTATAATCATCAGGGTGTGGCAATCCCTGATATGCTATGAATAATATGCTATGAATGATGTGGGCATGTAATTGAAATCAGGGAATACTGAGATGCTTCCTGAAGAAACTGCAACTGAAAATCATACCACTAGCGTTGGTCCTCACTTTATTACTCTGCTTGCCTTAAGAGAACTTTTTATCTGCTCTGATTCTGACAAAAAAAGAAAAAGAAAAAAGAAAAAAGTCCTTGATTCTACACTGAAATTTGGGCAAATCACTTGAATCCCTGGGTGGGTTTTGTTTTCTGCAGAATGAAGGTGTTGTAATAAGAGGACCGTGAAGAACATCTTAATCAACACGTAGTTATTGAATTAGCTTCTACGTATGAGGTGCTTTTAGGAAGTAGGCTTCAGAGAAAGATAACCAGCCCAAATCCTTGCAATATTCTGAGGGCGGAGGGGAGTGGATGAGAAAACAACTACTATAAAAAATGATACATACTTTGAAGAAAAATAAGAGGATGGTGTTAGAGAGAGATAGGAATTGGCATTTAATTTCTATAATTGTAAATTTTCTAGGAATATTGCAGCTAACGTGAAAATAAGCAATTCCATTTATTTATTTATTATCTTATTTGCTTAGAGACTTTATTTTCGTACAAGGCCACAGCATTTCCTATGGTGAAGATTAAAATCTTTCCTGTTCTCCTCTATGAAGTAAGATTGCTGTTGGTTTAAAGTAACAGAATATCCTACTGACCTGTCTTAAGTAGAAGGAATGTACTTTTCTCAGATAACAAAAAGGCAGTGTAGGCAGTGACACTGGTGCTTGTTCAGCAGTCTGTAGACATTATTCTCTGGACTTTGCCCTCATGGTTCTAAAATGGCTGCAGCAGCTCCAAGTATCACACTCACACAGTTGTATTCAAAAGCAGGGAGTAGGGGAAGAATGGGACAGAGGCATTCTCTTTTGCCTTTTCAGGGAATGAAATACATTTTCCAAGGGACTTCAAGTAGACTACCTCACTCAGCCACCCCCAGCTGCAAGAGAAGCTAAAAAAAAATGAGTATCTCTTTGCACTTTTATAATAAGAGATGGGCCAGTGAGAGAAGATGGTAGGAAATAGATCTCGGGTTGTCATTCACTGGTGTCTACTATCTTCCGCGACTCTGTCTCTCATCAAAATGACTCAGGAAGTAGGAATAGGAAGTACTCCTTCAAATGTCCAACTCCCAAGAGAGCTAGTGATATACCCATGGGCCCTTCTGTTAGCTTCATGTTGTAGGAAGGAAGGGAAGGTGGTTGCCTGGTTTGGAGCTCATGGGATCCCACATGGGATCCCCAAGTAAACATATAGTAGGCTTTCGTTCTAAAATCTAAAGAAGCCTTTTAATTTCACTGGGTATCATTTTTTTTTTTTTTTAAATCGGCTTTAAGGCTCTTTATACTCTAATGCCCTAAATTACGCTAGAGAAAATTGTAGTGGACATCTGCTGTTTATTCCTCTCACCATCTTTTCCTGCTTTTCTTCTTTAATGGCATTCTGCTTTTTCTTTAAATAACTATCATTCCCCAAGTCCTGTCCATATGGTTCGGCTGGGGCTGTCCTCACCTCTCGGGTCTAACAATAGGCAGGAGACCCAGATTCCTGGCCACAACTGATTGCAATGATGGGCGTGTGGTCCAGGTCTGGCCTAGGAGTTATTATCCTGCTACTTCAAAGAATCAAGAGAAAACACCCTTTCTACTGGAGTACAAAGCTATGAACAACAAGCCTGGGGATGCCAGTGGCCTTTTTGTTACTTCTTAGAGAATCTGCCTGCGAATCAAACCAACGCTGAGAAAAGCAGAGCAGAGCGATAGGCCTGGAGAGAGCACGAGCCAGGCCTGACATCATCATTTGAGCCTCAGCATCTAGCTATGCCTGAAATAAGGACTACCTCCTGTACTTTCCAGTTATGTGAAAGAGTTCTCTATCTGACTTTAATTACTTTGAGTGGCTATTCTGTCACTCGCTACACAGAGTCCCAATTAAGCCAAAGCACATGGTCTGAAACACTGTTATGTGTGAACTAAACTCGGGATATCTTCTTGGCATCTGAAATTCTCCCTGAATAATTTTCCTTGATGGTTTTTCTACTTCACATTATTTATTTCGTTCAACTCTCTCTCTGCTGTTGCTGCATTTCTCTTTGCTACTCCACCGACAATTTGATTTCGACTATTGTCCTTCTTATGTCTCCCTTTTCTTTTGCCAACTTTTCTGTGTTTTTCTTTTTTTCTGCTCCTTATATGCTTATTGTCTTTGAGTATTGCCGGGCTTAGAATTTATGGCTCCTGCAGACCCACAGGAGAGCAGCTTTCTGGTTGAAAGGCGGGCCACCCCCGAAACCTGATTTTAAATTGTGTAGCGCTGCCTCTTTTTGACACTTTCACCAGTGTACCATAGATCTTTTGTGATAAATCAGTGTCTACACATATACAGAGAAGGCTGACAAGAGATGAAATGATTAGAAATGTTTTCCTTTCCTACTGAATAATTTTAGTATCAATTTGACTGAGAGATATGCCCTGACCTGGGAGGTAAGACACTACAGATTTGTATGCAAGAATACCAGAAGTTATGGTTCTAGGGCTTCATTGTAAAGAAATGGATAATGGGACTCTTGCTATACTGTGTTAGGGGCTCACCAAAGTCCTTTGTAGCCCCGATTGGAGCATTCTAGGCTCACATTTCATTGCCTTCCCAATTGCTTGAGAGAATGCCTTGTACCTCTTTGCATTCTCAATGGACTCTGTTGTGCCTGCTCCATCTAAAGGCAACAAATAGCTAAAATTTGTCAAGTATGACAGATAAATACAGCACCCCACTTTTAAATAGAACATTCCATTTTCTGATCCAGTCTCATCCTCATATGATTCTGGCATCGACCAGTTCAAAGATTAATAAGAACAAACTGATCAGGCTTCGTAATAGGTATCATAATTTAATATCTTTACAAATGTTTGCAATATACCAGGTGCTGTTCTAAGCACTTTAGAAATATTATCTCATTGAATCCTCACATCAAGTCTAGGACGTAGGTGCTATTAACATCCTCATTCTACAGATGAGGAAACTGAGGCACAGCCAGATTAACAGATTGCCTGAAGTCACACAGTTAGGAAGTGAGGTATAGCCACTTTAACATAGCACTAATTATTTTTTAAAAAACACTGATTACCTTAGTTGACTGTCATTATGGGAAAATGGAATATTATTATAAATCTTACATTAAATATTTGCTTGTTAATTTTTATAATGATAGACAGTCAGACAGTCATGGAAAACCAGTTTAAAAAAATGTTTGCATGGGAGTTAAATCACACAATAAGAAGTTCTTCGTATCTGCTTCATACTTCCTATTTCAGATATCCGGGAGGGTCCTAAAAGGTACAGTGCTCTTCCTAGCTGCTTTGAAATCATATTGTTTAAAAACAAAAACACAGAAACAGGAGTTCACTCACATGAAGAGGTCGTTTTCAGTTTTCTGGCCAGTGCAGCTTTGGCTTCGCCTTCCACTCCCAGTGCCACAGCGATAATATTGTGTGTGATATTTGGGGCGTATCTCATAAGCAACACTGTTTTAAGATTGACAAAAGTTTTTCCTCCTACGATAACTCTGACAGAATCATGAGCATTTTTCTCAATCAGGTATCCGTAGAGCCTGCACAGAGGGACTCTGCTCCGGATGCAGTCTTCCAACGTGTACACCTCCTTGTCAGTGTGGTCGTCCAGGATGATGATCACGTGGGCCTGGCGGAAGGCTTCCTCCACTCTCGTGCAGATGGAGACGCTCTGCAGTAAGGGCGACACCAGGTCCCACATCTCTGTCACCAGGATCTGGAGATTTTCTTCTGTCTTCTCATCGTCAAATAGAGTGATGCTAATTTCCGTGTGCATTCCAAACACTTCTCCACTGGTCAAGATGGGAATTAGGTTGTAGCAGGGACGAGAGGATGCACTGATGACAATGTAGAGCAGGATTATGAATGGTTAAATCTTTCACCCCTTTTAAGCTTTTATTCTTATTAGATATTTCTGCATGTGCATTAATAGGGTGACTTAATATTTTAAATAGGCACACACAGCTGCATAGACATTTTTCAACTTTTTGCACTTGCTGCTGCTTCTTTTTTAAAACTGAGCTTTATTGAGGTATAACTGACAAATAAAAGTGTGAGATATTGAAAGCATAGTAGTTGACATGTGTATATATTGTGAAAGGATGTTCCCCATCAAGTTAATTAACAGGTTCATCATCTCTCATATTTACTTGTTTTTCCCTGAGAACATTTAATTTTTAAGGCTAAAAATCAAAAGTAGAATGAAAAATTCTCAATACTAACCCTTTGCTCTGACCATCTGAAAACAATCCCAAAATGAGAAATGTACTTTAGGCTTAAGAGGTTTTTCAGATAAAATAGAATATGCAGAAAGTAAAATTTCAAAGAACTGTGTCATACTACTCTAATTCCATGTTTACATTTTCTCTTAAAAAGATAAAGAAATAACAAGTTTCATTTAACCACAGCTCTTTTCTATTTTATACCCTTATCTACAAAACGATGACATGTATTTTAAATTCTCAAACATTTATTAAAACAATATTTGCACATGGTTCTGTTTGAGCAAATCAACTAATTCCTCTTGTACTTTGAGAGAGAATAATGTGAGGAAACATAAACACAATTGCATATGTCAGTGGACATCTCTGTGAAAGGCAATGTGCTGTGTACTTCAAGGTATTCACAGAAGTCTGCCTTCATGACCTTGAATCATGTAATGGGTGTGAGATAAGCACATAAAGTACAAAGCAGGGAGGTAATGACAAAGAGAGATATACATGAAGAACTTAGGGAGTTCAAGGAGGATGAGCCTCAGACTCCACAGCAACTTGCTTAGAGAGTAGCAGTGACATTTTTTGGAAAGGACTTATCTTTTCCAAATCTGGAGCCTAAGATCAACATAGTCTAGGTATCAGTATCAGTACCCATAATTCAGTAAGTATTTGGGTACCCTATATATAGTTTGCTATCAACTGAGAGTTGTAATGACACCTGAAGAGAGTTTGGAAATGCATCTGAGCATTTTTGGTTTTCACGGTGGGTTTGGGAAGGGGTACAACGGGGGTTTCCACAGTATCTGTACCATTTTAGTCTTTTAAAAAATACCTATAGCAGACGTTATATTTATGAAATCTGGATGTTTGTTTCACATAAGTTCACTACACCATTCTCAGTTATTTTCTGTATTTAAAGTATTTCATAACATCAATTTTTAAAATGAACATCTCTATTAGGATACATGCATGTGTAGAGAGAAGGGCAGTGTGAGAGACAGACGGAGGGGTGAGGAATGGAAAGGGGGAGTGAGAGATAGAGCGAGATGGACGGCAAGAGAGACAATCAGAGAGACAGAGAGAGAAAAAGTGACAATAAAGACTACAAGTGCCTGAGACTGAGAGCAATGAGGAGCAAAACTGAAGAGAGAAAGGAAGAAGGAACGACAGTGAGGAAGGGCGGGGATCCTGGGAATGAGTATTTAAGGAAGAGTGAAGACACCTCTAGCAGGTGGGAAAGAAGGAGAGAGCAATAGTCGGTAAGATGGGAGCGGGGAGAAAGGGGAAAGTAAGCAAGAGAGAGGGAAGGAAAGACAGTGAGGCGAACAGCAAGAGAAGAACAAGAATGAGAGCAGGAAAACAGCATGAGACACAGAATGAGGGAATGAGAGCGGGCTACAGAGATATCAAAGTATATCATACCTTTGCTATAAAGGATCTAAAGTTCATACCTGGGCTATATTGGGGGATACATATGTATAGCCATATGTATATCTATACATACAAATCTCAGACTTGACATTCAGATATTCTTCCATTGTGGAGTTAATTGCACATTATCCTCCTTTCTAAATGTAAAAAGCCAGTCTAATGAATCCTAGGGTTTGACTACCCCACCTGGTGATCCAGACGTTCAGGGGCTCGATAAGCTGTTTCAGGGCTTCTTTCTCCTGCTCGTCTTCTATGTGTGTCATCAGGTTTTCTTGAGCAATTACCTTCATCATCTCAGTCGTCATGCTAGAGGTGACACCATAGTAAAGCTAAACATTGGGAAAGAAAAAGTCAATGCCAGAGAAAAGATAATTAGCTGACAATGGCTATAATGGAAAGTTCTCCTTTAAAGCCAGAATGGAATAAAAAAAAATGCTGAGAGAATACCTTAGCAAGCAAGACATCTGAAAAATAAAATGTGAGAGAACAATAATGTTTTAAACAGATACATCAACTTAATTTATGTACCTGGGCATGCTCCAGGAACTCATTATATCCTCCCAAAAGCAAACCCTTTCCTCCACGATCCAATAGTTCTCTCCAGATGATAGGGGAATTTTTATGATTCCATTTATTCTTTTTACATAAATCTTCCAGCCATTCCTATCGAAAGATATTACAAGTGAAGTCACACTTTGTCTCAGAACTCAATTCAGTACTTTAGAATTCAAACACTAGAATACTAGCTTGTTTTCTACTACCATTGCATATACATAAAATTTAACTATCTTAAACTGTAAAATGTTCTCAGGGGAAAAAAAGTAAATATGAGAGGTGAAGGGGGACTCTGGACTGCACATGACAGGACCTGTGACAGTTCACCAGTTGTGCTTTTTAGATCCACATGCCCTGTGTAATAAGTTCACACCATTTAGGGACAGCATCTCTCCTTAGGGAAACTTTACCAGAGGTAAGTTAGTAAATTACCTCTAGTCTCCATTGCATGTCGTTTCAGGGTCATAACTGACACTCGTCATTTTTCTTCTCTACTATTCATTAAAGATTCCCCTCACCCCTTGTTGGTCTAGGTGACTTATTAAGTGTGGTAACCTACACCTGTATCCTTAAGGGCCCCTCACAACCAAGGCTCTCAACCCCTCAGCCACCAGGTGTATTGGCTGCTGATGGCTCAGTGCCGAGTCTCTCTCCAGGAATTGCTCTCAGCCAAAGAAATTCCCTCGCCTAAGGTTAAATCCCAGTCTGGGGCAGCCAGCATCCAGCGACTCTTAGCTGGGGGTTTATAAAAGCCCAGCTTCCTTGCCTGCATCTGAGACATTTCTCAGAGGCCAGCTTCAGACTTCCTTGTGTGATAGGATGAGCCCTCCGTTGCAGCTGTACGGTAGTTCGACCTCTCCCATTGCTCAATCCCACTGCCCTCATTCCTTTCCAGGATGTTATTCCCAAGAGCAACCCCCAGTCAAGGAGTCTCCTTCAGCCAAATCCTTGCTTTGTCTGTTTCTGGAGAAACTCAGTCCCTAAAAAGGGTATTTCAAATAAAAAAAGTGCCTCACGTCATTAGAAATCAATATGAAGGAGAACAAAAAGTTAAAAAGTACAATATAAGTTACTTGGATCCTTGAGAAAAGAAAAACAGTCAAATTTATTATACTTATTGGTTAAGGCCTCATTTGTTCTGCTAGGCATTAGGGGAAAAAATGTTTTGAGACTGATAAGTGGGGATTTATTTTATTAGTAGGAAAATATCAGTAGTACGTGAGTATTCATTACTGGAAGCCTATCTCATACATTAATATTACTCAAATTAGAACACATTTTTGTGCATGTATAAGTTTAACAAATTATAAAGGCTTCTTACCTCCCAAACATGAGGATGCTGCGTAATTTTATGTACCCGAAAATCAGGAAGATTCTTTTGTAAATAGTCTGCCAGAAGTTCTGCTTTAGCATAAAATGGGCAATCTGCTCTACCTAAAAGAGTTTGAATTAGCAATGTTTTCTTTGATCATACAGAAATTATCATGTATTTGCCATGTAATTATAGAATTAATCATATAGTTATATTTCATAACACAGAGCTATAGTATAAACTGCCACCACATAAACTTTTGCTTCTTATTATGTTGCTAAAAATAAAACAAATTTTACAGGTCAGAATTTTAAGTAATCGAATGTAGAAAGGAAAAAAGACTATTGAATATTCACTCTCCTTCAGTACTATATTAGAGGCTTCCATGCTATGAATTAAGTGTGAACTAAAAAAATGAACTATTGAACTATTCATTAGTAGCCACGAAAAGGCAAAGTATGAAGTGACAAGTGGTGGTAAAATCACATGTGGATTTAATGTGTGTGGCAGGAAGCATTGGGAGAAAGGGAAACTGAAGGAGAGAGAAGAGTCTGGAATAACTTGTACTTTCTGGCTTGAGTAGATGATCCTGACCTTACTAGAGAAAAATCATCGCAGAGAAATTTAATTATAGACAAGTACAATTGGAGGTATCCGTAGTATATTATGTGGATATGACCAGCAAGTAGCTGCATGTATAAGTCTAAAGCGTAAACTCCATGTAAGCATTAGGATGCAGATTTTGCATCCATCAATGCACAGGAAATTAAAACCACTAAAGTGTATGAGCTTAGGTATCTGATAGGCAGGGGTCAAGTGCATAACCCTATTGATAGTATTCTTCCCCAGTTACCCACAGTTATCAGTTCTTCAACTTCATGGAGACTTCTAAGTCATCACCTCCTCTCAATCTCCCCCTTGTCTAGTTCATGAATCCATAGTTCATGAATCAAAAACATTCTCTGACTCATATCTTAAATTATCTTGCCCCACAGTGCTCTTAGAAAATCAGCCTGATAAAAGCTCTTTACTTTTGATGAACCCAATTACCTGCCTTTTATGTGCCTGGATTCCAACCGCTAGGCCCCCCTGGAAAAACATTGCAGAATCAAGCAGAGAGAAGCAATTATAAATTCATGGTCACTTCAACTGGCCCTGAACTTTGCCTGGAGATCAGTTTCCCTAAGCAGCACTCTCTTCTGTTCTCCACAATTACTGTTCCAAACTTGTCCACTTCTCTCCATTTTCACACAGCACCAGAAGACAAGAGACAACACTGCTCTCTACTTCACAAAAATTAAACTAGTTCATACAAAAAGGCGCCAGGTGGGAAATCCCCCAACCTCCTGCTATCACACCTACAAGTCTGTCTGCATTTGCATGTATCCTTTCCTCTTTCTCTTATTCAATGGAAGAGGGACCCTACTTCCTGTCCAGGTCTAATCTTACCACTTCTGCTCTGAATACTCTATTCTGCCTCCAGAATTGCCACTAATTCTGCTCAGTTGGTTATACCTTCTAACATCTTATCTCTGTTGCTAATGACCCTGTTCTACCATATTTAAATATACTTGTTATATTTAAGTTTTTCCTGTCCTAAAAAAAAAAAGCCCATCTCCCCCCTGTAGCTATTGCCTTACTGAACTATTCTATTAAGACTTCTATTCTTTTTAACTAGACCTTGAGAATTTTCTATACTTGTCATTACCAGTCCTTCACTTCCATTTATTTCTCACCCACTGCAATCTGGCTTTCCTCATTATTTTCTAGAAGGTCACCAAGGACCTCTATGTCACTAAATCCAATGGATACTTTTTGATCCTTTCCCTGTTGATCCTTGACAGCATCTGTCCCTCTTTTTTACCTTTTTGAAACATTTACTATGCTGTGGGCATTCTTCAGGTTTTCTGTCTACTTCTCTGGCTAATATTTACTATATTTTGTAGATTCTTATTCCTTTATCAATCTATTAAAAAGTAAGCATTCTGCAAGGCTCTTTATCATCATACCTTACAATATTCTTCCTGGCCAATCTCTTCTATGCTCTTGTTTTCAAGTGCAATTTGTACTTCCAGTTCAAACCTATATCCTTATTTGCTCTATACCCTTTGTATTTTTTTCATCTCCTTTGGAATGTCCTACAGGCCCTCAGCATGTCTATAACAGATTTTGCCACCACTCCCCCACTAAATCTGCTTCTTCTATTACTTTCTTCATGTCATCTAAGAGTATTATGAGTATCCAGAGTCATCTAAGAGTACCCAGTCATCTAAGAGTATTATGAGTATCCAGAGTATTAAGCCTACTCTTCTGCTTTTTCCCCCAATGACTCCTCATCTACCTAGTTATCCAAACCACTGCTTGGGAATAATTTTAACTCTTTCTTCTCCCTTATTTGCCTCCCTCTACCCAATTACACATCTAGTTCTTTTGATTTTGCCTCCATAACGTCTCTTCAATCCACTCACTTCTTTCCATTTCCATTGTCTACCAGCCTAAGCCAGGCCATTATCCCCTTCCTGGACTGGGCTCTTAGAATCCAGTCTTTCTCTTCCCACATGGCAGAGATAACGCTCAGATAAAATGCAAATTTTGTTAGGTTCACCCCTTCTAAACATCTTCCATGTACTTTGAATAAAGTCTAAAATACTAAACATGGCTCAAAAGAATATTATTTAACTCTGGCTTCAGCCTATGATACTCTCTTCCTTGTACTCTTTGCTCCAATCCTTCTAAACTTACTGTATACTATCAATCGTCATCAAGCTAGCTCTCCTCATTCCAACCCCACTCCCGACTATCCATGCCTAAATTACTCTCCTCCTTTTTATCTCCTCTCTTCTAGGTAACTCTTTCTCATCTTTCAGGTCTCTGCTTTAAAAACACTCCCTCTGGAAAGCCCTTGCCTAACTAAATGAAGTCCTCTGCCACTGCCACTGCTCCTGTAGAACCCTCCCTGACACTGCCACATATGCAGTGTAGATTGTAAGTTTTTTTACTACTGTCTTCCCAGCATAGTCAGTGCTCAAAAATATTCTGAATGAATAAAGCAGCAAAGAAAATAGATTTCCAGGCAGATGGGAGATGTCAATTATGTTGACGCATCAGAGGTCAAATAAGACAAGGACTGGACAGCTTCTGTAAAAGTCAGCTGTGACTTTGGTGAGGGCCATTTCCCAGAGCCAGAGGTAGAAGCTGGACTGAGTGAAGGAAGACCTGGAGATAGAAGAGCATTCTACTTTTTAAAGAAACTTGCTGAGAAGGGAGGGAGGCAGGTACACTAGCAAGTTGCAGTAAAAGTCTCCAGTACTTTTCTGGACGCAAGTTGTCACTTCCAATCCTTCCCCTCCATTGTTGACAGGTGAGCTTCCTAAAATGTAAACCTACTAAAAATACTCTCCTGCTTTAAAAATTTCAATGACTCCTTATTGCTTTCAAGACACAGTTCAAACCTTTGCATGGTGCACTTGAGGTGCAAGGATCTGGCTCCAGCTCCCGTTCTAGCCCTAAGTCCAGTCACGTCCTACATATTCAGACTGTCCCTTAGGCCGTAAAACTTGTAGTCTCTGCGCCTTTATCTAGAATAGCCTCCCTATCACAAACTTTCACAACTCTGCTCCTGCAACACCTCCCAGACAGAGCCTTGTGCACACCAACAAAATTACTTGTTTACATGCTTCTGTATCCTACGAGACTGGAAGTTCCTCGCAGGTCGGGATGTGTTTTTCCTCACACTGTATCTCCAGTGTCCGGCGGTAATTCGCACAGGGTCACTGCCCAATAAATATCTTTGAGGCATGCACAAGAAAGCCTGAGGTGGTCCATATGGAGGCTAGTGTTGCTAGAGCTGAAGCCAGTTAAGATCACTGTCAAGCGGCCATAGGAGGCGAGCGGTTATCGGTGTTTTCAGCGAACTGCGGGCGATCGCCAGGATCACTCACCCGCAAGCACGAATTTGGTCATAGTGAAGCTGTATTCCCCCGGGCAGGAGCAGCGAGTCCCCGGTTTCCTGGCAACCACGTCGCCAAACGCTTGGCGCAGGCGCACTCTAACTGAGCGCGGGGTCTGGCGCCCAGCAGGAAAGTTTAAGTTGGGGTACGGGATCGTACATTGCCTTTAAAAGCTCTGGGGTCTCCCCAGTTTCTATCCCTGCACGTAAGAAAAGAAGTCATTCTCTTTGGTAGGCTTTTTTTTCTTTTAAGCGAACCTTTCTACAACCGCCGCGAACATACAGTTTTTGACCTATGAAGGATCCGTCAAATCTCGCGATACGAGCAGCTCGCGGGGACGCTGTCATGGCTGCTCCTATATATAACCACGGGGTTCTAACCTAAGGTGAGTGGAGGACAAGTATAGGTGGAATGGTTGGTGGTACTGCACTTTAAACTTACTGCTTTTTGGAGAAAGGTCTTAGGAGATGCCTGGGCATTAAGTTTAGGGAGGAGGATTAATACTGGGTGGCCCAGCTCCGGAGAGAACAGCTTCTGACGTTGGTTCTGAAATCTGGTGTGACTGGCTGGTTGTCTCTTCCACCCAGACGCAGGCCACATGCGAATGTCAGTTTAGTTTGCTGCTTTCTCTCCTGAGCCATTCTACCCGTTCAGGTCCCCATTCTCAATAGTCGGGGTTCGACTGTTGCTAAACCCTTATGTTAAAAAGTATCCATCAATGTTAAACCTTTAAGTTTCATTGAAGACATCTCCGAGGTAATGGTAACATAAAATCCGTTCTGCAAAGTGATCTTTGTGGGAACACGTTTCTACCAGAAATACACTTCTTTTTCTTTTTCTCTTTTTTAAACTCTCGTTTATACAACAACTCTTTCCAAAGTAACCTGGCTCCTTTAAAACTGTACACATTGTGGTAGAAGTGAAGGAAGCCCACATTGGAAAAAGTTTTACCGTTTTAATGTAAATCTTTAATGTCTCTATAGGTTCCCACTTTAGTCCCTATTAAATGCATTTTATTTCTTTAAATAAAAGTTTTTGTTTTAATTTTTATTTCTTTAATAAGCCCTTCCCCTACAGGAAAACAACAGCATGTGTTCTCTTTCACTAGTTGAAGCGACGTTTGTGTCATATCGACAACTCTAAAGCCATTTGAAAGTGTTTCGGTGGATAGCAAAATGAATAACAGAGCAGGTTCCTTTTTGTGGAACCTCAGACAATGCAGTTCTTTAGTACTAAGCAGAACTGCGAGGCTGTATCCTGTGGGATTTTGCAGACCAAAAAGTGTTTATTCGAACTGGAACCCAAGAAACCTTTTAAATAACTTCGATAATAGAATGCAATCATATATAAGATACCGCTTTCAGGATGCCTTGATTTCTAAATCAGGAGGTAATCACTTTCAAACAAAAGGCATAAGCACTCAAACAGTCCTTCCAGTTTACACACTACTTTGTCCTAGAAGACTATCCTTTGACTCAAAACAGTCTCGTGTCTCTGATAATGGATTGAAGAAAAACTTTCATCATGAAGCTTCCAATGACTATGTTCTCACCAAGGAAACAAAATCAACCCCTGTCAACTACAGAAAACTGTCTCAGGAGTGTAATTCCCTGAGTGATGTGTTAGATACATTTTCAAAAGCACCTACATTTCCTAGTAGTAACTATTTCTCAGCGATGTGGACAATTGCCAAAAGGATGTCTGTTGACCAGAGGCGCTTTGAAAAACAACTGATGTTTAACCACCCTGCGTTTACACAGCTGTGTGAACAAATGATGAGAGAAGCCAAGGTCATGTACTGTGACCACCTGCTGTTCAGTCTTCATGCTGTGGTGAAGCTTGGAATTCCTCAGAACACTCTTCTGGTACAGACTTTGCTGAGGGTGGTCCAGGTAAAATCAAAGGGAGACTTATACATCCTTTTACTTGGTTTGCCTATCTTGAAAGAATGAAGGGAAACAGATTTAGCCTCCTTGAAAGAGACTATTAGTGGAATGGTAGTTTCCTTTATATTTATTTCTGCATATATATGACTTAGAGACCATAACTAGGTCTTTCTTGCCTTTTGCTATAGAAATTTATGAAATCTTGTTCCATTTTTTTTTCTCTAGAGTTGAATGATAGTGAGTAACAAGCTAAAATGAGGAGAGATATAAAATATACAAGAAAAATTGAGTAGTTGAAGGAAGGAGACAAGGGATGAGAACTAATATTTATTGAGTACCTATACCTTTTACTTGTATAATCATATTTAATCCTTCAACAGCCCTAAAAAGATGTTACCTCAGGTTTGCAGATGAAGAAACACACAGTGATGTTAAGCAAGTTGGCTAAAAGTCACACAGCTAATGAATTCATTCATGCAGTAAACATTTGAGTGTCAACTATGTATCAGTTACTACACTTGTCACTAGGAATAAAAAGATTTAGAAGACATGATTCCTGCCCTTATAATCTAGGGGGAAGATAGCTGTTTTGTAGGCGATTACAAAACAACCAACATGCATTTAATGAGTCATACATTTGCTCTTTTATAGGCATTGTACTCAGCAGAGGGGAATATAATTGTGAACAAAACAATGGCTACATAGAACTTTCAGTGCAATGAAACAAAAATTTAGAGTCTTATGAGTGTGTATAATGGACTTTCAGCCTAGTCAGGAGAAGACCTCATCGTGGTAGAAGAGATGGGGAGAAGGATACAGGATTAGTGTTTGAGGCAGAGATAGATTTGAAAACCGAATTACCTCATGTAATTCCAGTATAGCCTTTTGAAATAAGCATTGTTGCTCTCATCTTACTAATGATTAGGAAATTTAGGCTTAGAGAGGTTAAATAACTTTCTCAGGGTCACATATCTATTAATGTTACTGTTTGTGGTACTTGATAAATATTCGCTGAGTGAATAAACAAACATCTACTCCATGGTAGAACTAGGATTCAAGCCCAGTAGGAGATGGTGTCTAAGCCGAATCCAAGGAATAAACAGCAGTTTGTGAGAAGCTGATAGCAAAGGGAGTGATTCAATCAGAGAAGACTTGTATGTTCATTCCAAACAAAAGTTTGGCAAGTTTGAGGAGCTGCAAGTAGTTCTGTATGGCTGAAGTACCAAATGTTAGGGTTGTGTGTTTGAGGGAGCGGGGAGGAAATTGTGTATGTGGTGGTCAAGGAGGAAGAGATAGTGGAAAGATATTAGGCTGGAAAAAAAGGATGAATCGTAAAGAGTCTTTTAAGCCTAGCTAATGAGTTTGGATTTATCCTATAGGCAATGAGGATCCACTTAAATATTTTAAGCAAAGGGTCAATGTGCTCAATTTTCCACTCACCGTATGAATGGAAAATGGTTTGGAAGAAAGTTGAAATTGGGTGGAAGAGCCACTTTTAGTTTCAGACAAGAGAGTCAGTATTCCGTTTGATGTCACTGAAACTACAGCAGATGTGATGAGGGAAGGATAGCTTATTAAAGTAATCATTTGCCTTTTAAAAGTGGACACCAGACTTCTAAACTCAATGATCATAATTAAGTAATTTTTTAAAAGATAGGAATTTCCTGGGGATAATCTGACGGAAATCCTATCCTACTATGGAATTCAAGAATTGGGTTTATAGGTATATGAGAATTTTTAACTTTTTACATTACTGTGATTTCCATATGTCCTCAACCAAGAACGTGCGTTGTGTGTCTGTGTGTGTGTGTGTGTGTGTGTGTGTGTGTGTGTGTGTGTGTATGTGTTTAAACCACAGAATATCCATGTTTATTTGGTAGACTGTGTTTCCTATACAGTTATTTTAAAGTGATTATAGTAAGTCATTTTACCTGGTCAGTGATGCTCTTATTAGATTTTGGACAGGTATTCATATCAGCATTCATATCTGTATTGGTTAGCAGTGGATATTTGGAATCAGAATATCTGTATGTATGATTGTGTCTCACTGACCTTTTGGAATGTTGTAAATACTTTTTAGCTAGAGATGAAAGGACAGTATGTCATCAATGAATTTACCCTACAAACATAGCCAAATGGCCTTTCCTAACAGTAGATATTGATGGTATGTTGTAAATTGTTATGAAAACACTCCCATGGAAATGAGATGTCTTTTGTTTTAATTCCAGCCTTATCCATTTCTTTTTTCTTTCTTTTCTTTTCTTTCTTTCTTTTTCTTGCAATTTAACTTATGAATTGTTTATTTCTGGAATTTTCCATTTAATATTTTCAGACCTTGGTTGACTATGGGTGACTAAAATCTCAGGAAGCAAAACCATAGATAAGGGGGACTACTGTACAATATTACGTAAAAGAGACAAAATGGCTCCCAGGCCCATATAACTCGGCTATAACCTAATTGAAAGTGTTAAAATATCTATTTTATTTCATTTTTTAATATTTTCTTAATTTTTTTTACATATTATTAAAAATTATTGGGGTGTCATTGATCAACACAATCCAGTAAGTTTCAAGTATACGATTCAACAGTATGTTGTACATATATTACATTGTGTGTTTATCACCCATAGTTAGATTTCTTTCTGTCACCACATATTTGACCCCCTTCTCCCCCTATCTATCACCTCCCTCCTACCTTCCCTCTGGTAACCACTAGTCCACTGTCCATGAGTCTCTGTTTGTCATGTTTATTGCATTTAGATCTATATCCCTCATATGTATGAGTGATACCATGTGGTTTTCAACTGTTTTCTATCTTAATTTCGCTTAGCATGCTTATCTCAAGATCCATCTGTGTTGTTGCAAATGGCAGTTATTTCTTCTCTTATCTGAGTAGTAGTCCATTGCGTATATGTACCACATCTTTATACAATCATCTATTGTAGGACACTTCGATTGCTTCCATGTCCTGGCCACTGTTAATAATGCTGCTGTGAACACTGGGGTGCATATAATTTTGGATAAATGTTTTCAGGTTTTTTGGGTAAATACCCAGAAGTGGGATTGATGTATCATATGGTAGTTCAATTCCTAGTTTTTTGAGGAACCTCCATAGTGGCTGTACCAATTTTCTCCCACCGGCAGTGTAGGTGGGTTCCTTTTTCTCTACATCCTTTCCAGCACTTGTAATTACTAATCTTGTTGATGATAGCCATTATAACAGGTGTGAGATGGTATCTCATTGCGGTTTTGATTTGCATTTCCCTAATAGCTAGCTATGTTGAGCATCTTTTCAAATATTTGTTGGCCATTTTTATGTCCTCTAGAGAGAAGTGTCTGTTCAGGTCCTCTGCCCATTTTTTGATTAGTTCCTTTGTTTTTTTGTTGTTATTGACTTTTATGAGTTCTTTGTATATTTTGGATATTAAGCCCTTATTGGAGGTGTTGCTTGCAAATATATTTTCCCATTCTGGTGGTTGTCTCTACCTTGTTGACAATTTCTTTTGCTGAGCAGAAGCTTTTTATTTTGATGTAGTTCCGTTCATTTATTTTAGTTTTTACTTCCCTTGCCTTTGAGGTAAAATTCATAAAATCCTCTTTAAATCCAAGGTCCTTGAGTTTAGCTTTTATGTTGTGTTCTATGTAATTTATTGTTTCAGTTCTTATATTTAGGTCCTTAATCCATTTGGAGTTAATTTTGGTGTGTGGTTTGCCTTTTTTGTCGAAAATTATTTGCCCATGTAAACGGGTTTACTTCCGGACTCTCAATTCTATTCCACTGTTTTTCTGTGTCTGTTTTCCTGCCAATACCATGCTGTTTTGATTATTGTAGTTTTGTAGTATAATTTGAAGTTGGACAGAGTGATGCCTCCAGCCTTGTTTTTTTTCTCAGGATGGCTTGGGCTATTTGGGATCTTTTGTGCTTCCATACAAATCTGATGATTTTTTGTTCTATTTCTTTAAAAAATGCCAATGGAATTTTAATGGGGATTGATTTAAATCTGTATGATGCTTTGGGTAATATGATCATTTTAACTGTTGATTCTTCCAGTCTAAGAGCACAGAATATCTTTCCATTTCTTTGTGTCTTCTTCAAAATTTTTTTAAATAATGTCTCATAGTTTTTATTGTATTGGTCCTTCACATGTTTCATTAGGTTTATTCCTAGGTATTTTATTCTTTTTGTTGCAATTGCAAAAGGGATTTTTTTTTTCCATTTCTTTTTCTGACAATTCATTATTAAAGTATAAGAATGCTGTGAATTTTTAAACATTGATTTTGATTCCTGAAACTTTACTGTATTTGTTTATTACTTCCGGTAGCGTGTTAGTAGAGTCTTTAGGGATTTCTGTATAGAGAATCATGTCATCCGCAAATAGTGACAGTTTGACTTCTTCATTTCCTATTTGGATACCTTTTACTTCTTTATCTTGCCTGATTACATGTGCTAGGACTCCAATATTATACTGAATAATAGTGGTGATAGTGGACAGCCTTGTCTTGTTCTTGATCTTAGAAAAAGGTTTTTAGCTTTTCACCATTAACTATAATGTTAGCCAAAGGTTTGTCATATATGGCCTTTATTCTGTTGAGGTACTTTTCTTCTATACTTATTAAGTGTTTTAATCATAAATGATGCTGTATATTGTCAAAGGCTTTTTCTGCATCTTTTGATATAATCATATGATTCTTATTCTTTATTTTGTTTATGTGGTGTATCACATTAATTGATTTGTGTTTGTTAAATCATCCCTGCGCCCCTAGGATGAAACCCACTTGATCATGGTGTATAATTTTTTTAGTGTGTTGTTGTATTTGATTCGTTAATATCTTATTTAGGATTTTTGCATCTGTGTTCATGAGAGATATTGGTCCGTAGTTTTCTTTTTGTGTTATCTTTACCAGGTTTTGGTATCGGGATGATGTTGGCCTCATAAACAGAAAGAGGTAGTCTTGCCTCCTCTTCAATTTTTTGGAAGAGTTTGAGAAGAATAGGTATTAAATCTTCTTTGAATGTTAGGTAGAATTCACTGGTGAAGACATCTGTTCCTGGATTTTTATTTTTTGGTAGATTTTTGATGATTGTTTCAATTTTCATACTGCTGATCAGTCTATTTAGATTTTCCAGTTCTTCATGATTCAGTCTAGGAAGGTTGTGTATTTCTAAAAACTTGTCCATTTCTTCTAGGTTATTAAATTTGGTGTTATATAATTTTTCATAGTATTCTTGTATGATCCTTTGTATTTCTGCGGTATCTGTCATAACTTTTCTTTCATTCCTGATTTTGTTTGTGTCCTTTCTCTTTTTTCTTTAGTGAGCCTAGCCAGGGGTTTGTCAATTTTATTAATCATCTTGAACCAGCTCTTTGTTGCATTTATTTTTTTCTGTTGTCTTTTTGTTCTCAGTTTCATTTAATTCTGCTCTAATTTTGATTATTTCTTTTCTTCTGCTGATTTTGGGCTTCACTTCTTTTTCTAGTTTTTTAAGATGTAATGTTATGTTGTTTATTTGGGCTCATTCTTGTTTTTTTGAGATAGGCCTGTAATGATATGAACTCTCCTCTTCTTACCACTTTTGCTGTGTCCCCAAAATTTTGGTATGTTGTATTTTCACACTCATTCTTTTCTTGTAACTCTTGATCTTTTTATTTCTTCTGTGACCCAGTCATTCTTCGGTAGCATATTGTTTAATCTCCATGTATTTGTGGCTCTTCCTGCTTTCTGGTTACAGTTGATCACAAGCTTCAAAGCATTATGATCAGAGAATATGGTTAATATGACTTCAGTTCTCTTATATTTGTTAAGGCTTGTTTTGTGTCCCAGCATGTGGTCAGTCCTGGAGAATATTTCATGTGCACTAAAGAAGAATGAATAATCAGCTCTTTTGGGATGAAAGGCTCTGTAAGTGTAGATTATGTCCAATAGTCTAATGTGTCATTGAAAGATGTTATTTCCTTATTGACAGTGGATATTTAGGTCTCCTGCTATGTTAGTGTTTTGGTCAGTTTCTCCTTATAGTTCTGTTAGTAATAGTTAGGGAGCCCCGAAATATGTAAAGCCTTATCCATTTCTTATCTGGTTCTGACTTGAGACTTTGTGCCTTGTTAGTCATGTAATTTTAGCAAAAGATTGTACCTCTTTCAGCCTAAGTTTCCTCAGATGTGAACACAAATACTTTTGTGAGGTGTGTAGACTAGTTGTGATTAGATTGTATAGCACTAGGTAAGCTGTGTTTTTACTATTCGTTTTCCAAATTATCTCCACTTTCATTTCTGGGAACTAAATTAGTACCCTAACCCAAAGGACCTGAAAGAAGGATCTTTCAGCCTGGGGCTCCCCTTGAGACCCAGATAATGGTGGTAAAAGGTAACAGCAGATGTGGATCAGAAGATTTACAGCAGGAGCTGCAGTTTGATATCCAAGAAAGAATATAGGGAAATTATAAGGACACAGTTATTGAAGTTTCTTTATGGGTAGGCAAATTGCCCTCTCTACCCCAGTAGCTTTTATATTACTGCACTTGTTGTCTTCACAATGACCTTGAGTCCTAAGAAGTGGTAAAAATGTTTGATAAAAGTTATTTCAGAAGCAGAGGAATATAATCAATATCAAATAGATTTTCAGTGGTAATGGTGAATGTAAAAAAAATTGATGCATAAAAGAGTGTGTGTTGGTTATTTGGAAAATTCACTACGTACAACAGTTTATTTCTTAAAGATGCTGTTTATTGAGTACTGACTCTGAATAAATTATTTAGTTGAGACTTAATCCATTAATTGGAAGCATCAGTTCAGTGGTTTCATGATCGATAGTATTTTTGTAATTATGTTTCAATAGGAACGTATCAATGAGTGTGATGAGAAATGTCTTTCAGTTTTGTCAACTGTTTTAGAGGCAATGGAGCCATGCAAGAATGTGGATGTTCTTCGAGCAGGATTGCGGTGAGAACTCTCTTATGCATTCTTCATGTGGCAATCTCTGTTTCTCTAATATCTTAAATCAAAAATCAAGATGAAAGCCGAACTGCTTTTTTTTTGGGTTGGGGGAGACTTTGATGTTAGTTATAGTCTTTAAAACCTTAATAAACTTAAAAGTCTAACTCTGGTCTACAGCCACGCCACCCTGAACAAGCCCGATCCCATCTGATCTCGGAAGCTAAGCAGGGTCGGGCCTGGTTAGTACTTGGATGGGAGACCAGGTACTAGGCGTAAAAAATAAAAAATAAGGGATTGTAAGCTGACAAGGTCTTTGCAGTCTGTGAGGTCAACCAAGGATTGCTTCACCTAAAAAAAATAATTGAAAAAAAAATTCTAACTCTGGGTCAGGTAAAGGTGGGAATAATACTCTAGTTTAGAGTCCACCATAAAAAAAGAAAAGCTACAGGTAACATCGAAATCCGAATTTAAAATATAGTACTAATGTGGGCTGGAGAGAATTGAAAGGCTTTCATTTTTAATGGTTATTTGGGCACTATGTAGCCGTCACATGACAGTGGCCTGGCTTGAAAAGGAGTTTGATTATTCTGATTTATAAAATTGATGCAACTGATATAATGTCATACATCAGTGTGGATAATATTAAATCCTTTTTTCATTAACTATGCATTGGGATATCTTACTATAGTCTGATGTGATTTGTTCATTCATACAGGTAGCAGAATAATGTGAGAGGAAATAGTGCTAAACTGGTCCAGGATCTTTCACTAACTACTTAACCTGTCTTGGGTGGGTAGATCATTTCTATGGGCTTCATATTTCTTGCCTAGAAGTAGGAGCTGGACCAAATGACTTTTAAGATTTCTCTTCTGGTTTTAAAATTCTAGGATTGTGATATTTATTGTGTTTGATGACAGGATAATAGTTGATCAACAAATTTGGAAAATAGAACATGTCTTCACCTTGCAAACTGTGATGAAATGTATTGGAAAAGATGCACCTATTGCTCTTAAAAAGAAACTGGAGGTAAACACTTTCTGAGTATCTTCTAGTGGGTGAGATTTGAAAAATTATTTCTTGTGACCTGCTATCACTTCCTAAAGTCAATTTTTTAGGAGGACATTGTTGTGCTTTTGGGTTTAACTTTGCTAAAGTAAAATAAAAGTAGACTTATGTTTATCTATATATATAAAAATATGTATATTTAATCTATATATCTGTTGGAGTCACTTTGCTCATACTTTATCCTTTTTATTTATAGATTTAATTTATTTTGCCACAAATGATAAATTCAATCTCATGTTTCTTCAGATGAAAGCCTTGAGGGAATTAGACAGATTTTCTCTTTTGAATAGCCAGCGCATGTTTGGGGCTCTAGCCACCATGAATCATCGTTCTGTTACACTTCTTAATGAATGCAGTAAGGTGATCATAGGTAAGGATAATTTTTCTTTCATGATTTTTAGGATCTGACCTACTGGTCCACACTATATTTGGTTTGTTTTAAGGACTTGGCTATTACCATATCAAAAATATCTGATGGTTTGGTTAGATCTAAATTTTATTTTTGTAGTTTTTTTCTTTTCTTTCTTTCTTTTTTTTTTTTTTTTTTACAAAATACAGTGCTTTTTTTTTAAGAAACAAAAGTATTGAGTATAAAATATCTTGGATCTTACATTCAAAACCATCTGGTAATGTTTGTTTTTTTCATTCATTCTTAAAGGTAATATTCATGGGTGTCCTTTTAAAATATTGATCAACATACTGCAGTCTTGCAAAGATCTCCAATACCGTAATTTAGATCTTTTTAAGGGAATAGCAGATTATGTGGCTACCACTTTTGACATCTGGAAGTTGAAACAAGTAAGTCTGTTAATGGTTTCGAATAAGCCTCAGAAACTTTTAAGAGCATATTAATTCATTTAGCGTTCTAAGTATTTCTCTATCAGCTTTATAGCATTTAAAATATCAAAATATTCTAATGCTAAATTGACTTTCGAAAAATTAGGTCCTTATCATTTCTCTTTTGAAATTACCTATTTATTTCTATTCAATCTTTCTATCTGAGATAAAAATTATATTGTCCAATGTTTGCTCTTCTATTTGTTTTTCAAAAGGTTTTATGATGCTTTAGATTAGGATTATTTCTGTCTTTCTAGTTTTTTTGGTTAGATTTAGTATAATAAATATGGGTGATGTGACAGACTTATGCTTTTTGAAGAATAAAATGTCATTACTTAATGATCATGTCTATTTTCTATTTATGGAAAGTTTGCTTGTTTTCTTCAGAGTACGAGTCTTTAAGTTCAGGGACTGCATTAGTTATATAAACCTGAGTGAAGCACCTGGTAAAAACTTCTTTTTGCACTTAAGCAGTAATAACTGTTAGATCACTAGGTTCACTGTACTTTGGAGAGTGAGATGAATATTGAGTTTGCCATGGAAATTGATTTTGGAAAGAGAAATACTAATCATGAGAAAGACCAAGACGGAAATGAGAAGTTAACTGGAAATTTTAATTTAATCATATTTTTTCATCTCTGTTCTCATTTACAGCAATTCATATTGACCATAGAAATTTTGAGTTATCTCTTATATGTTAGAATCTACAAAGTATCTAGGTTTGGAAGGAAGAACAGTTCAAAATTGAGTTGGTAATTTTTAAAAACTTCAGATAAGGCATATTTAAAGTAGTTTTCAGATATGTTGTATGAAAAGCCTATAGAAAAGGCTTTATTTTTAAATGAAATGGAAACATGGAAAATGTTATACCCTGGTTCTCTGCTTATAAAAAGAGATTGCTTATTAACTTAATAACTGATTCAAAAATTACGGAAACAGAATTTGTGAGGGAAAGATAATTTTTCCTTTTTTAGGGAATAGTCTCTTAATCAGGACAGTTCTATTGCTGTTTAAATTTTTTGAGATCTAAAAAAATTACTACTAGAATACTATAACTATTAAAAAGTTTTTAATTCACTCTTTTTTTAAGGTTCTTTTTCTCCTCATTTTATTTGAAAACCTTGGCTTTCGACATAGTGGTTTGATGGACTTGTTTATGAAGAAAGTAGTAGATGAACCTGGCTTCCTAAACATGAAAAGCACTGTTTCTATTCTTCACGTGTATTCTTCTCTCAATCACCTCCACGAGTGCCAGCCCCGAGAGTATGTACTTGTTCTTTTTTTACTTTTTTATTGCCACATAACATACTATGGAAAGGATTACAAATCGTCATAAGGCCAACAAATTATTACGTGAACACATCTATCACCATCATAAATAAATAAAACATAGTATTATTTATAGATATAATTAGAAATTAAGCAGTATTAAGTTTTGCAGAATTTTCTTTTATTTTTGCTGTTCATTGTCTTGCTTGTTTTTTTTTTGTTTTGTTTTGTTTTGTTTTTCCTGATTTGTTAATTCAGCATAGGAGTGTTCATTTCAAACTCTCTCAGCTTGTTCCCTCAGTTCCTGAGTTCATTGTTTGTTTTGGTCCCAAACTACTGCTTTCTATTCTTTTCATTTTCAACCACAACCATGCACTTCTATTACTAAATGCAGAAATTCTTCAAACATGCCAGCCTCTTTCATACCTCTGCTTTCTATCCACAACATCTTTCCTTCCTCTAGATCTGTTAGGGTTCATTAAAAATCAGAAACACATATAAAATATAATTTGTTAGGAGAGTGATTAAAAACACAGACTTTGGAGACATCTTGCTTAGTTTAGGTTTGAATCCCAGCTCTGCCATTCATTTGCTACTTTGGCAAGTTACTTATCTCTGCCTCAATCTCTCCACCTGTTAAAATGGGGATAAGAAGTAAAAGTTATTTCTAATCACATTGGGTTGTTATGGAGATTAAACGAGTTAACCTACGTCAGCTTCTTACAACAAGAGATAAGATTTTCTTATCTCCTTCTTTGGACTTCTTAAAGCCATTGGTTCTGTGGCACCTCACCAGCTCTACCATGACCTTTTCTTTATATTTGAAAACTGATTTTTCTTTGTCGCCCTGAAGGTTCCTAGAGGTGATGGCCAGTGCTCTGACTGGTTATCTTCACCACATCTCTTCTGAAAACCTATTGAATGCTGTGTGTTCATTTTGCTTGATGAATCATTTTCCTCTGGCCCCTATCAATCAGCTTCTTCAAAAGGACATCATCAATGAGCTACTGATATCAGGTAGGGTATCAGTGCATAATGGTGACTGAAATAGGGCAGTACCACTGGCTACCTTGCGTTTCTGAATGGGGTCTTAATTGGATTAGTGTTAGAACATGCAGAATGCTACTGAGGAAAGGACTGATAATGGTGAAGTCGAAGGTCAGTGCTTCGAACCAGCAAACCTGGGGAGCCTCCTTTAATGACAGGTCCTAAATAGAGAAAGCAGGAACGAGAAACACCCCATCATCGTTCGTTTTATTTACACTTTATGCTCCTGTACAAAGGCTAAATGCTCACGTCATTCTTTATGCCTTGATCAGAGGTGTTTGTACTTCTTGATCCTTACTTGTGATATCTGAAGCCAAGGTAAGTCAACTTTTGCAACTATAAATACTTTGTCACTCATGGCCTGTAAGGAGCGCACAGCCTGTTAGATCAGGAAACCAAATAGTTACCAAAGTAGTGAACTTATTTACTCTAGAAACCAAATTAATTGTTGACTTTTGGTCTTTAATATCAAACCAGGAAAAGCAGTATCAGGCTAAGTGTACAAAATTTGATGATGTAAGAATAGTTTAAATTCTTTTTAAAACAACATTACGAAATTCTAAAGTTGAATTAAAAAGAAGGCACACCATGTGCTGATTTTTCAAGCAATCTAATGTGGGAGAAACAGCTTGAAACCCAGGAGGCCTGGATTCCAGTCCCAGTCTTGCCTTTAGTTAATCATGAGGCATCTTAACATTCCTGGGCATTTCCTCATCTCTTCAGATAAAGAATTTAGACTAAATGACGTTGAAAGATATTTTAAAACTTAAAACATTACCAAGTCCAGGGTATTGATCTAGATACTGTGGAACTAAGGAGACAGAGAGATTCCTCCTGATAAACAAATAATCAGAAATATAAGTACATGAATACAATTTCTTAAATATGGCATTAATATTTTTTCTTAACTTCCTATTTTCTTTTTTATTAGGCGACATGGAGAGGAACGTTCACAAGCTTCATATTTTGACAACCTGTCTAAAGCTTGATGATGTTCCCTATCGCAAGGCCATAGACCTACCACTGCCACTGCCGCCATCCACACCATTACATCCAAATGCAAAGGTCGCTGAGGCACTCCGTAGCCTTCTGGGAGAAGGGTACTTCTCAGAAAATGTACAGTTGCCACATAATTATCATATTGGTATGGAACTTGATATGATTTTCCTCTATTCTATTTTATTTATTTTATTTATTTATTTTTTTCTGACAAAAGGTTAGGAGCTTACCATGGCATTTCAGTGTCATGCAGAACTGGCTCTGGAGCTGGGCTGCTTGGGTGTGGGTTCTCACTCTGCTGCTGACGCACGCTGTGACTTTAGGACTTAGCAGCCTCCCTTTCCTTGTGTGAGAAATGGCAATAGTAGCCGTTCCCATTTCATAGAGTTTGTGTGATGAGTAAATGAGATTGTACATGTAAAATTCAGACCAGTATCTGGCATATGGTAAGCTCAGTATATTTTAGCTGCTGCCAGAGTCATTACTGGTGGTAGTGGTATATGTTTTGAGAGAGAAAATCACTTGGTGCGATGTTTGAAAAATTAATATCAATTCTTTTCTTCCAGATTTTGAATTCAAAATGGATACTAATAGGAGTCAAGTGCTTCCACTTTCTGATGTGGATGTGGTAACTTCTGCTTCAGATATTCAAAGGTTGCTTACATATATTTATTCGCTGAGCTTTCTTAATTTAAATCTTAATTCTCAGAGATTTCCTATTAAATAGCAGTAACAATATTAAGACCTTATATTTGTATGGAGCTTGTAATGCACCAAGAGACTTCTCATCCAATAATCTACTTCTTAGTTGTAAGTGTGGGCACCGTGGTTGAAGATAGCGGATGGCAGTTGGGCCATTTAATGAAATAGGCAGTTTTTAAAAGTTATGTTTTACAGTAAACAGTTTAAGAAAAATTGAAACTATAATAATTGAAACTATCAGTCCAATGACAAGATAATGTAACAGTGACCATAACGAATTAAGGCTTCTACCAAAATCAAATACCCAATACATACTTTGCTCTACCACTGAGACCACTGTAAAGGTAGGGAAACTTTAGCTTTTCAGGTAAACTGCATTGTATCTTGATCAAACAGTATTGAAGTTAATCATAAGTCGTTTCCTTGGCCCACACACTACAAATAGGGTGTCTCTGGGAGATATATGCTGCTACACCCTAGAGGATGTCCTGCCTTTTAAGTAGATGCATCAGATTGTGTTGCACACACTCCGTGTCCAGTCAGCCTTTCCGGAAAGGCTCTTCTCTGCCTGTGGGGCACACAAGGATGAGTCAGACATGGATCCTGACCCCCAGGAACTTATCTTCCCTGTTGCTTTATAGGACATGCTCATAAATAACGTTGGAGAGTGGTACTGAAAAAAATCTTTTGGGATTCAAACTCTTACCTGCCCATTCCTCTCTAGTCACGTAGAACTATAACTTTTCCCCTTTCTTAATCCATCCAGCTTGTTCCTTGGCCATCTTTTTCAACTGCTGTCTTCCCTATACATGTTGCCCAGCTCCCCTCAAAAAAGGCTTTCTCTTTGACCTCATTGAAGATCATTTTTCTTTTTCAGTTACTCCACTATTCTGGCATAATAATATAACATAGTGGTTCTCAACCTAAATTACTGAGAAGTAAGGAATTTGAGCATTCCTTTAAAAATATAAAATTCCTCTAACATTATCTCAGGTAACAGCCAGTGTATAACAAAGACAATAAGGATGCAAATGTCTCCCTCCACCCCCGCCCCCGCACTGAACTTAATCTTTCCAAAGGCCAAGAACAATGAAAAAAACAAATTACAGATTTCACATATTTGTTACACATATAGATTTTATCTTTTGAACAGTTTCGCCTTTCTTTTAGTATTTTCTTCTTTGCATTTGGTCTCCCAATTCTGGGATTTAAATGCTCGGAGACATTATGTACAAGAAGAGCATTAACCGTTTAGTGCTAGCTACATCAATACTACTAGTAGCGTAAATAATTACATTTAGATCAAAGATTAGAATTGCATAGGAAAAACCTTAAAACCTTTCATATCTAATATTTTTCTTCATTGAGAATGTAGCCATTCTTAAAGATGGTTTAGAGATGACTGTGTAAAGCATTATTATAAGCTTTTGGTTACTGAAGCAGCCTTCACATATCAGAATAACTACAGAGGCCAAGAAGCAAGAGGAGAATGAGTGGTACAGTAGGGAGTGGTGAGGACTGAGGTTAGTGGAGAGCTCAACTTTGCACTCTCCAAAGAGCAGGAAGACAGCAAGATAGTAAATAGTTATCTCATTAACTAGTCTTATATTGTATATTTTTGCTTTCAGAATAGCCATACTGTGTGTTCCTAGATCTAATTACTGTTTGGATTCAAATCACCCCAGAGGATTCCTTGCTATGAAAATGCGGCATTTGAAAGTAATGGGTTTTCATGTGATCTTGGTAAGAAAAATGTGCAAATGAAATACTCTTCAGTTACTAATGTCCATTCTGCCAAGAATGTTATGGTTAAAGTTGGTTACTAGGACCCTAGAGGACTTGTCAGCAATATTGGAATAAGTGTTTTAGTTATTTTCTTTGAAAAAAGGACATTTCCAGTACATGATTGACTTCTGCTCAGCTGATTACAATCATTTCCTAGGGTTTTATAAATGCTACATTTGGTCAGCTTTAATCCTTTTTGTTAAAAAAAAATATATAAGTAATATATTTTCTTATTTAAGACACATGAAAGCATATTCAATTTCCAGGTTATCATGAACAAGTGAAGAAAAGATGTTAATTAAAGCTTTGTTTTCATGGGCCAGTGTGAGGCTGTCATAGGATGTTTGTCACCAGAAAGAGCTAAATGGTTTTGTAAGAGGATGGTTCTTCCTCTTCTCTCTTATGCTTCATTTTGATTCTGAGCATCACAGCTTTTCTTGAACAGCCTCTCCAGATGTCTCTGTGTGGAGCAAAAACTTTATGAATAAATTTTTATTTATGTTAATGTTGGGATCTATCTAAATGCCACTTATTTGGTCCTGAGCATAATGTGAAATGTAAACATTTGAATCTTCATTATGGTATGTTAGTATCCAAAAATGGATTATGCATGGATACTGAGGTGAAGATGGCCCATTTCTCTTAATGGGCTACTGTTTAAGACTTCTTTTTTTCATATTGGCTATTATATATGTTCTTGGGAAGATTATCCCAAGAAAGGAAAGAATTTTTGTACCCTTTAGAAGACCTTTAAAGTTTTTACAATTTTCAGTGTTAAGAGCTTTCTTCAACCCTAGCACATAATCTTACTAAGCCTTTAACATATGAGTAATTATAAGATAACATTTGCCTTTAAAAAGTAGTCAGCTTGATGTTACTTTAATATGCTTGGATCTCAAAACTAGCTTTTATTTTATGTGTCACGTGTTCTTGCAACCTGGTCATTTTCCTTTTTCTTTGGTAAGGTCAATAATTGGAAGATGGAAAAGCTAGAGATGAAGGATGCAGTCGCATATTTGAAGTCTGAAATCTATTCAAGTGAAGACCCTCCTGCTTCTGATGTTAATTTTCAAAGCACATGTTAAAGTAAAAAGCAACTTTTTCATATTAGGAGACATAAATTTGTAAAAATAATTTAATAAAGACTACAATTCAGTTGTCAATAGAGTTCAGCTGACTTTTTGAAAAGGTTAGTGCTAAAAGGAAGTTTAGCAGTAATTTAATCCACCTCCCTCATTTATGTATGAGGAAGTTAAAGCTCAAAGAATTGGATTTTCCTGGAGTCTCAGGCACATCACTTGGTTCCCACATCATTTCATCCTCTATTGCTCTTTAGCTTGTGTCTCAAGAAATTTGGATGTTGGTTCCAGATTGGACATCACCCAGTTTTATATGTGTGGCCAAATGATTTATTCCTTATAAACTTCAGAGCAAGAGTTGAAAATATTCTGTTATTAAATTAAGATTCATCTCCAAATCTTAAGTGTGTATCTGTTTCTTCTAGTGGCTATTTATGACTCATATTCAAAGGATTGGACAGATTTGTGAATACTTGTAACTACCTTTTGGGGAAGCAGTTTTACTGAATTTGTACCAATTGTCATGGCAGATAAAAAGGC